AATTCCAAGGTATCACATCAGGTAAATGGAACCGGCGACAACAACAGATCGTGTTGGTAGAGATGATGTGCAATTCTTGAGAAATAGTTACATACAAGAAAAATTATTCGTTCTTTCAGCTATAATATAATATATAGCTAGCGTAAGATGGTGCATAACGTTATTATCACGTTTGATCGAACATATCCATTCGGTATACACCATTCAGAACATGATAACTGTGCTAATTCATTTGCTGAATGGTTAAGGTGTAGAATACTTTGCTAGCGTAAAATGTTTTACCGCTATCGCAATGAAACGGCATCTTATAAATGAATTGAGACAAATTGCCTGATTGAAACGGCTGAACAGAAATATTAGTAGTCCGTTACGTAACACGAGAGAGGATAAATAAGACACAGTGATCTGCAGATGAGTAATAATTAGTATTAAAATATCGATCGCAGAGAGATGTTGTGTCCGCCTTTATTCTATCCAACTGTATTTTGCTGTTTATTATTTACTGATATTCGCGCCCCTTCTACCGTGATATATCAATTCACCTGTGCACTCTTAGTGCCGCGCTACAATTTTTTTACCTGTCCCTTTTATTGAACTTATAAATTGACCCCATGAAAGTGAATGTCGATTCCATCTTGGAACACGCAAAGAAATTGGAGAAAGAGACTGAGAACGAACTCAATTGGCTCAAGATTAACAATTTGTTCATCGATCTTCTAAAGGAAAAAAATTTGGATTTCCTGAAGGTTATGAAGTGCATACCAGAACTAATACTGCGGTCATTCCTGAGTGAGCGCTCCAGACTGAGCGGTTCAGTTTTTCTGTTTCTCAAAGAGAGTGTAACCAAGCTTGGTGCAGATGTTCCGCAGGATGAAGCCCTTTTGGACGCATGTTTCAAACTCTGTGGCCGCGCTAACAGGGTGTTTAACAAGCGAGGCGAAGAAATGTTGTTGCTAGTGGCCGAAAAAACGAATTTGCCCAAGCATGTAAAGATGTTGAAGTATTATAGCAAATCGTTAAATAAGAAGGTGAGAAAGGCTGTTTATATAGGAATCGAGAAGAGTCTGAAGAGCTGTGCTGATGTGAATCGTGTATGGGCAATATATGAGCCGCTGATAAAGAATGGTGAGAAAGACCAAGATATTGAGGGCAGATCGGTGTGTAAACGGATTTTACTTGGAAAACGACCTGATGTAGTATCAAAGACCTTTTCGTTGGGCCAGAATGCTGGTATTTCTACGGCAAAGAGGGAGATTAAAACGAATTTCCCTTTTCTTCAGCGAGTGCCAGTGAGAACAAACAACGTGCAAGAGCCTGTTGTGAAGACAGAGGAAGTAAGGGATTCATTCAAGACATACTTGAAGAGGCATAACAATGAGATGAAAAAGTTATTTAGTGAGAAGGTTGCCTTCGACAAGACGGTAAATACACCGCCTAAGAAACAGATTCGGGCAGCCGATCAACACAAACGCAAGGTCCAGGGTGAACAAGTTTCGCAGAACATACTCGAATATACACCAAGGGGCCTGAACAAGTATCTTGAGCGATATCGAGAAGAGGTCCAACGGCTTAGGGTGTCTCCGGTTAATGAGACGGAGCAAACGGGTGATGTTAAGAACAGTGCTTCTCTGAAGTTGTGGGAAGAAAATGACGAGCTCTTCGCAAAAGAAATGCTGAAATTTAAGGAAATAAAGGTTCCTGACAAGTTTGAGCTATCGTTTGATGAAGATAGCAAGGATGCTGAGATTGAACATGCTGTTCGACACCAGCCAGACACCGATCAGAGCATCGGTGCCCGTGCCGAATTAAATACACAACAAGCCTTGAGTGCCTATAGTGAAGAGGAAAACATTCAAAACGTTGAAAAACAGTTGCAACGATCTCATCATGATGCAATTCCTGAGCGTGAAAAAACCACAGCTCAGACATTCATCGGCGGTTCTGCAAAGGAGGTTCAGCAGTTTTATTTCGATGATGGGACAAGTAACGGTAAAAAAGCAAAAGACCAGGATGAGAGTATGGGTATTGTTGAAAATCGTCAACAGTTCTACTTTGAAAACGGTGGAGAGATGGATGAACAAAATGAAGGAGCTATGGAAATAAGCACAGAACGGGCCAACTTTTTAGGTGATGAAGAGAGCGAAATACCGTGTGAAAATGCCCAGTTCAACTTTTTTGGGAACAAAGATCTCAAATTCGAAAACTTGGATAAATTTAACACGATGACACAAGAGGAGTTTCTTAACCGTAGCATGGGGAGTGCAAGTCAAGATGCTGTCAACGAAGGCGTGCACAATCTGATTAAAGGCCAGGAGCGCTTAGCACAAGAGTCATCGCGACTGATTGATAGTGTAAAAGTTAGTAGAATCGATGAAGGGACAGCTTGTCAGCAAGAAACATACAGCGGGTTTCATAAAGCAAGCCAACAAGAGCTGGGCGAGAGAACAATCATACTGCAGCTAAGTCCTCGTAGTATGACACACAAAGGTAGCGAGCAGCTCGCGCAGGATATTATTGTAGGTGAAAATGGTAACAAACTGCCTTCCAACGAACAGACTATGCCGATGGATGAAAAAAGTTCATCAATTAAGTCCATAGAAGTGTATGAACAGGTTGATCGAGCATTCGATGATTTATCGGGAACAATACCATCCCAAGTAGCAGAGAACAATGATGAAGGAGAAATGGGAAATGTGTCAAGGTATTCGTTTCTCGAGGACTCATTTAACAGTTTGGGCGTTACTGATGACGTGAACATGCCGGCTCTGAATGAAGATAACGGGAGTAGCGGTTCGGTTTTCGAGGGTTCTTGTGTAAAAAATCGGTTTGAGGACGCGGCCGAAGACCACACGACCGCGAATAAAACGCAAGTTGGTGAGTTTTCGAACATTGGAACGGTTCTACAATTTAACAAGAAGACGCTCAGAAAGGAGCCGGATGACCGTAAGTAAATGAATGTCTTGTACATTTGGCCACCGTCTCTGTCTGTCCTCCACAATGGCACGTATTGCCACATGGTTAGGTTGATTATACCGATATTAGAATTTGTTTAAGCCTCGGGTGTTCATTAAAATGCTGTTATTTCGCATTCTTGAGCTATATCTTGCTGCGTACACTGAAATTCTCCCTTGTGAGCGCATCTTACGAAATTGTCATGTCCCGCTTGCATGAAAAAACTAATCGTATGAGAATCAAGGTTTTTTGTCTAGCAGTAGAAGTACATATCATTATGTTCGAAGCAACGACAGTTCGTCTCGAGTGCCAAATTTTGAACACGCATTTTTCCAGTTAACACAGGTCTTAGTCTTTTTCTCGTTTTCAAATCCATGTCTAATACATAAAAAAACTCTTTGCGATGACCCTATGGAGTCAAAGCTGGTGAAAAAATTGTTAAAAATGTACAAAAACAGTTTATTCGAAGGAAAAAACATCTATCTGGCGTGTAAGGAGGTACAAAAGATGCGGAAGTACAAAATTTTTCTGGCGATGACAGCTAATTTGTTGAACAACGGTACATATAATTTATTGTTCAGTTTAATGGCTAGAAAAATGGTAAGTGTAGTGGTTACAACGGGTGATTTTGTGGCGTATGACATTCTCAAAACATTGACCGGTAAAGATCTAAATGAAAAAGTGTACACCGCTGAGGATAAAATAGTAGTGCGAGATTTTATCGAGCAGATTGTGCAGGCAAACTATGAAGAGTGCATGCCACCATCCGAGTTCCTGAAAATAATCGGATGTAAATTAGGATCTGACTCTCTGCTCGGACAGGCAGCCAAAAATGACATACATTTTTACGCACCAACCATCTGCGATTCGCTGATAGGCTTGTATTGTCATAACATTTGTATAGACCCTCTCAAAGACGCATACAATATTAACAGCGAGTGTTTCTTTGTGAAAAGGACCGGTGCAATTATTCTTGGTACGTCTATCATCAAACACACGGTTCTCAACGCCAATCTTTTCAAAAACGGTCTCAACAGCTGCGTTGTCGTGAACTCGTGCAATGAAGTGGATGGAAGTGATTCTGGCGGTGATGTTGATGAGGCAATAAGTTGGGGAAAAATCCGCAAAAATACCACTTCTGTGAAAGTTCGGGCAGATCCCTGCATAGTGTTTCCCATTATTGGCAGCTATTGGCTCAGTAAAGCTTGAAATAATTTACTTACATATTTTTAGAGAAGTTGATGATCTGTCATTAACGGACAGACATGTATACATTCTAATATCTTGTGAGCTAGCAAGTTGCATTCTACATTTAATTCTATGACAGCATACCTTGTAACGAGGTCTAAGGCGCGTGTTTCTTGGCAGTGAATTAATGATTTATTGCTCTCTGAGATAATATCTGCGAAGTTTATAGGTGTCGTATTCGGAGGAGTGCCTGATATATGATAGAAAGGTGTTGCTGCATTCATATCCTAAGAAAAGAAGCGATATAACTTGAAATAATTGCCAGATCAAAATAAAGCTGCTCATATACCGGCCATTAAGAAAAATACACCACCAGCATCTCTTTCATTTCGTGATAGGCTAAGTACCTTATGAACGTATCCAGCATTTCTACCAGTGTAAAGATGGTATATAGGGTGCACAGCTACATCGCTTGTTATGCGAGACAGATCATAGATTTTGGTTACGTGCGGTGCTCGGCTGAGCTTATGAACGGTGTGATGTAGTGCAGCGAGCAAATTTATTTAAGTTAGTGTTCGGTTAAATGGCTGTAAATCTGTGTTTGTAGCATATAATCTGATAAATGAACACAGTCATACGAATTCAGTTAACTAAGCGGGAGATTGACGTTGCTATACGTCCCCAGATTGAATCCCCCTGCAGGAACGTCCTGAACGCATGTATTTACACTAAAGATGTGTTTAAAAGATGAAACGTGGCATCATGTGGGCAGCAGATAGTAAGCAGCCACATTCGCACAAGGTATGAATCCTTATCATCGAAGGATGATATGTTACACGATTTTCTGAGATATTTCTGCCTGCAAGTGTCGCCAACGCACAAGATGCAAATATACCGTCATCAACCAGAGAACACACTCGAAATCAACAAATTTAAAAAGCGCAAATCATATCTGTCGTACACATGTATTACGCACTGATTATTTTATAGGATAAAAGGATAGAAGCGATTTTTTATGTGGTTGGGCAAAAAAAAATTTGGTTGCTTGTTGATAACAAGACGGATCGAATAGCACAGACACACTGCGTAAATGGAAGAAGAACAGCTGTAATAACTATCGTTAAGATTCTTCCTAAGGTAAGATTGAAGAGGATGCCTCTTTAACCGCAATTACAACCTTTTAGTATGCTATTGTTGAAGTATTCATCGCGTAAAACTATGTTTTAATCACAAGGAGCATGGAAATATCAAAATTTTGATAGCTACGCTGTGATACAAATGGCACCAAGTTTCTCAGACTATGAACACGCCACAATATTTCGATTAGAACAAAAAAAGCATACTTTACGACGAGTGCTCATCTCCTGCTAAACTGGAATAAAATATCTTCCTTGAACAATTTATTAAAGTATTTCTGCTTCATTTCGTATATATTCACCTTTATCGCACTGTTTTATTACGAACAGGCTGTTATGATCCGCCTTGTTAAAGCTGTCCATATTCCTTGCCGTTATTCCAAACCCAAGCAACACATCCCTAGGATTGTACAGAAACACAATGTCTCTGTCCTTGAGATCCTCTGTAGTCTTGAGAACATGTGACTTGAGCACGTTATTTCCATAGAGGAAGTTCATCTCTGCACTCCATTTTATCCACACTTTTTTCGTAACGTATGCACTCAGTACATTCAAAGCGCCCACCTTCAAGAAAAATCGATCAGATCTTGTAAATCGTCCGATATGCGTTCCAACCATTACAATGCTCTTCTTTGGTATGTTGGAGACCTTTTTATAGAGCAGATTGCTTACATAAAATACGTTTTTGTTGTGTAAATATATGTTGTGGTCTTTCAATAGTTCTTCTTTGCGATCGCCGACGAATTGATCAAGCTTTGCAAACACTTTGTCGCTTTCCTCCTGAGTTAGTTTGCGCATTCCCGGGGTCATGAAAAAGATCGAAAAAGAAGCCGAACGGTGTTATCGCAGAGAACAGGGAATTACATGTAAAGCAAATGTTCAAAGTAAGATTTTATTGGCTTGACATTACTGGCCGGTGTATCTTAGTCTTCGAATTAAATTTATTTATCACACATCGCAATCACTGCGGAGAGTGAACACGCTGTTTGCTGTTGAAATGATGAGATCAGTTTTTATTGGTAAGTACAGATCGGTAGATTAACCAGAATGAATGTACAACGAGTGGTGTGGTGTTTGGTACGTAACAAGTATAGAATTACGGGATAATCAAAACAGAAGAGCAGATTTTAGGCGTTTATTAAGCGATAGATGTGAGTATTATCTGCAAATATGCGATTTATTTGCTGTTAGAATCCGTTCGTTTCCTATGTTCAAATGCTGTTGGTTCATCTTCCTGTGTTGTCCACGAACACCCGCAAATTTACGTATGCTCTGAACAGCAGTACAACGATGAAGAAGACTAGCAGCAGATTGAAGCGCATGTTCAGGCTGTTCGCAAGTATAATACGTAGAAAGCACAGCCCAATGCTGTATAGAAGATAGAAATAGAAAAGTGCTGACATTCCGGAGTACACACAATTGTCCAGGCATGGGCAGTGATGATCAAATCCATCCACACATACGTTGCAGCTGCTGCAGTGCTTTGTATCCTTGTTTTTGTCCCTTATGCATATAGCGCAAAACTCTTTCTCGTTATATTTCTTATTTCTCATCATTTCTTTGACAATTTTAATCTTTTCCCATCTGTCTCGGATCTTTACACACCTCTTATTGCGCGTCAGTCTATAAAAAGCAACGTAATACGGGATTAAAAGAATGGACCATAGTAAATTATACTCCACCAGCTCTATGGAGAATAAAATGCTGTAGTAAATGTTCAGATAAAACATAAATTTGATATAAACGAGCAGGTTGTGGTAGGAAATGAACAGTAACACAATCGTGTAGGGATCTACGTTGTACATAAATGATATGAAATGTATAAGCGCAAAGAATAGGACCAATTTGTGAGATATTTTGTTACTGCTCTTCAAATAACTTACAAACTGAACTTTTCTTAGTTTTATGGCAAGTTTCACCAACCTATCTTTTTCCACTGTCTGAGAATGTTCATCTACACCAAAAATGTCCAGCAAAAGAAATGAAAGGATGTCATCTCGATGAACGCATATCTTGCGCAGGGAGTTGTTGCTTAAATTAATGTAATCCGAGTTGGCCCCGTTTTCAAGTAGAAACATCATCGTGCTGTAGTTTTTGTTGTAAACAGCAAAATACAACGGCGTGCTCTGAAACTTTCCTCCCTTGATGTCCACATCAACGCCACAGTTCAAACATCTTCTTATCAAATCTAAGTTGTTGTACAGTGCTGCGAAGTGTATGATGTGCTTGTTCTCGTCAAACATGTAATTTATGTCGCTTACCTCCTCACCGTCTGCGATACGCCGTTTTACCTGTTCATCTGTATCCATGTTTGTTTATTTTTCTGTGAGATAAAAACTTTCTGCTAAAAACGAATTTTAATCTCCTCATCTCACGCTGTTACAGATTCACTCTCACCTCCTTAATTTTTTTAAACTCCTAATCTTATGTTGGTACTCAAATATTACGCACAATGACCAATATTCCATGGATACACGGGCCCATCCTCGTATTGCGAACAATAGAACAGAAAAGTAAAGCATTTATTTGAAACTTTCTCTGTATGATTTGTTAATCAGATCAGCTTATGCTCACATCTTGTGTGTAAGATTCCCTCATTCCCTTCGTACTCCACAGCATACTGCATGTAGTACTGCTCGTATCGCAGCAAGCAAGTCTCGGTAAAATGTCTTGAGAGGTACAAATTTAATCATTGAGCCCGATGATTACCGTTATCAAGTCAATACTTGGACAGGTGTTGTTTGGGAAGCAGAAGTAAAATTTACTCATTGGTTCAATTGGGCAGCCTAGCGATGTAGCCGAGCGCTAATTTGGATTAAATCGTGGGACTGCGTTATTGTAGACCTGATGAAAATATAAAGAGAGGGCATTTGATTCTATTATTGATGAACGTAAAAACAATCTATTATTTTGCCTGAAGCAAAAGTCAGACCGATAAAAAAACGCTGTTCCTCACTTCATATTGCATAGTGTCTTGTTATACACCTTGCTAAACACCTTCAACCTGGTTTTTGTACCGATATGTCTCGTTATAACAAAAAATTTTTGGGCCTTAGAATGGAAAAAAAACAGAAGTCGCTTCTTGAATTTCTTTCGTCTCCAGTCAAGCGCACAAAGGATCACATCGATGAATCGGCATCCTCTTCACAGAAACTAGTGCACGACTCTCATGCCTCGCAGAACAATGAGTTTCTCCTTTCTTCGGAAATCGACTCTCTCCCCAGCAATGTTGATGGCGCGGCAAGGACACCCAAGAGAAGAAAAGGTGAGGCAGGTGAAAAGAGATACGGATTTTTGGCAGATATCAGGGACAGCAAAGGAAGGCGGGTGAATGACGAGGGATACGACAAGAGTACGCTGTACGTCTCCGATCAGGATATGAGTTTGTTGACACCGTTTGAAAAACAGTTTTGGTCCATTAAAAAGGATTATTTTGATACGATTGTGTGCTTTAAAAAGGGCAAATTCTACGAACTGTACGAAGGCGATGCCGAAATAGGTGCAAAGCTTTTTGATATGAAGATAGCTGATCGTGTGAATATGAAAATGGCAGGATTTCCAGTTAGTTGCTTCGATATGTGGGCAGGACGGTTCTTAGAAAAAGGGTACAAGGTGGCCAGAATTGACCAGAAAGAGAATATGATCGGCAAAAGAATTAGGGAGAAGGAAGAAAAAGAAAACAACACAACAAACCGAAAGGGCAGGGAAATAATCGAGCGAGAATTGAAAGAGGTCATAACATCCGGAACAATATACAATTACAACCACATCAAAACGGCACATTCTGTTTATTTGGCGGTTATAAAATACTGTGAGGATGTGTCGGTGTCCATTTTGCTCTACGATGCGTGTATCAACGAAATCTGGATCAAAACGTTTTATGAGAAAGTTGAGGACAGTGTCAGAACGGTGCTAGCACAATACAACATTAAGGAGATCATCAGCGAGCGTAAAATAGAGGGGAGAAAGACGGAACATCCTATCAAGGGAGGGTCTGCGATCGATTTCCAGCAAAAATTTGAGGTTATTGACGAATACATTTGCTTCCTCTACCTTGACAATTACATGCAATTTTTGAGACGAGCAGACTTCAAGGAAAACGTTGTGATCAAAAGAATGGCAGATAGGAAGGATTACATGGTTATTGACAGCATTTCTCTGAAAAACTTAAACATCATCGACGAAAAGGTTTCATTATTCAACGCCATAAACCATTGTTCGACGCCATATGGTCAGCGATTGCTTAGACAATGGTTGCTCTACCCTCTTGCCGATGTAAGAAAGATCGAAGAGAGACAGAGGATAACAGGTGAAATTGAGAAGCTGGAGATTAGAGATATTAAAGGTGAATTGTCCAGGATTAGGGATCTCGATCGACTCACGGGAAAGCTGAATAATCGTAACTACACATCAAAGGACCTTTATAATTTACAGGTGAACCTGCAGCTTGCCTGCTCGTTCTTCGACAGATTCTTCGCTGACATCGGCTTTTCGCCCGCTCTTTTGCAAAAATTTAGTCAATACAGCGACACTGTGTGCGAACTAAAAAAGAAGATGGAAGAGTTTTCAGAGCAGTATACCGTCACAGAAAGCGAGATTAAATCATCAGAAAAACAGAATGACGAGTATTCTGTCTACACAAAAGAGATAAAAAACATCGAACTCAGGCTCAAGGAGTATTTAGAAAAGCAGAAAGAAAGATTAAACTGCAAACTGTTGTGTTACAAGGATCTTGGCAAGGAAACTTTTCAAATTGAGGTGCCATCCACTATTTCGGTGCCAACAAGCTATTTCTTGGTATCGAGCACGAAGACAACTAAGCGGTATTACACGCAAGACTTGAAAGATATCATAAAAGAGCATGAGGAATGTTCAGAAAAGATATTCCAGGCTAAAGGACTCATCCTGGTAAAAGCAACACAACAATTCTTAGAGTCGTATCCATTGTTTTACAAAATATCCGACATGTTATCTGAAATTGACTGTTTTATGAGTTTTGCCACCTTCTCTTTGGTACACACCAACTCAACACACACCGAATTTACCGGAAATCTTGCGTTCGAAAATTTGCGTAACCCGATTTTTCCAAATTATTTGGGCAATGATTTTATATTCGATGACAGCAAAACGTTACTGCTGACTGGACCGAATATGGCGGGCAAATCTACATTTCTACGGACCGTTTGCCTGAATGTTATTCTATCACAGATGGGAATGAAGGTTACCGCGGACAAAATGGAAAGTCGGGTGTTCGACCGAATATTCACAAGACTGGGTGCTAGTGATAATCTTTTGCGCGGTGAATCGACTTTCATGGTGGAAATGAAGGAAACAGGTGTTATTCTGAACGAGTGCACGCATGATTCACTGATAATCATTGATGAACTGGGCAGAGGAACATCAACCAAGGATGGTGAGTCCATTGCAAGGGCCGTTATTGAATACCTGAACAGAAAACATATTTATTCGCTCTTCTCCACGCATTACCATCGGATTGTCGACGAAGTTAAAAACGTAAGAAAGGGATTTATGGATGTGATTGTTGATGAGGATGATATCATCTTTTTATTTAAGTTACGTGAGGGTGTATGCCACGATTCGCAGGGAATACCTGTTGCTAGACTTGCGGGTGTACCCAAGTCTATCACGGACAGAGCGATTGAAGTGAGGAAAAAAATATTGGCGGAGAATTCAGGTGTTTGCAAGTAGAAAATACGTGTTTTCATTAGGAATTCATGTTCTTAGTATGTGAAAGTATGTTTAATAAATTTAATTTATTAATTCTGTTGTCCATGAGCATACCAATTCTATGTATTGGATGCTCTAAATTTTTTTGCTTGTTTGGTTTTGGCATGTTGTGTTGCGTCTTACTGCCGGATTGAATTCGGATTTTCACGTAATCACGAACAAATATTTTTGGCTCGTTCAAAGTATATTGTGAGGTGACAAATAAACCGCTTTTAATGAACAAAAGTTGCCTTTAGGCAAAAAAGAAAGTTTCGTATGATCGGTATGACTTTTTTTTCAGGGTTTATTGAGCGAGGAGATGCTTAGACTTTACATCCAGTCTTGATATAGCTTTATAAACAGATAAAAAACATTGTTCCTGCTACATACGAAGGCGTCATATCGTATAAAACATATTTGCACTAAAATACTGCAACTTCCAAGTTCAAGTTTTTGTCCTGCACATTCGATGTTCAACATGATGGAATGTCCATCAAATGAAGATTTTTATGATTGGCAGCAGCAAAATTAAAACCAATATACCAGCAATCATATACCATTTATACAGCTCCCACATCATCTGATATTTGGTTTTTTCCGCTTGTTTCTTGAATGCTATCGAGGTTTTCATTAAATTACTGGATCTTTTTTCCAGATTTCCAAGATCTGCGCCGCGCTTTTCCTCCGTCTTGATGTTGTCTTTCACTTGATCTTTTAAAACATCCAACTGTTTGTCTATTTTGAGGGTAATATCTTTGGCCATCTATGAGCAATTTTGTAAGTTCTTAAATGGCAGAAAAGGGGAATTTCACATTTCTTAAAAGATGCTTGGTCTCCGCAAGAAATGCTTTGCTCCTTCATTATGAGCCTACAGTATGTGATGGAAATGGCATGTGGTGCGAATAAAAACAGATATAGAATTTGGATAAGTATAGAGCGTTCTACAATTTTTTATTTGGTAATTATACACGTTTCATAGGCATGTTATGATTGCTTTTTGACAGACGGAAGATTAACTGGCTGCAAAATAGCAATGCAGCTGAATTGAAATACGTAAACGTACAGTAACATACTCCGTTTATGATGATATAAACGTATATTTTTGTATGTGCTGCTAGCACCATTCGGTGGAATTACACAATCTAGCGCATACGAACGTATTTGCGTTAACAGATGTCTTAACATTCCTTTTATAACCATGATCGTTGCCTTCTACTTCCATAGATTGACATGAATGGACGTAACAATAAAAAATGAAGCACAAAATCAGACGAATTAGCACCTATGACAAGGAATAACGTTAATAATAGATGAAATTTACTCATCGGATAAAAAAATTGGAAATACGCAGTTAAAATCTACCCGAGTGGCACTACTAATATTGTTAAGAATAAATGCAAACATTCTCTCTTTGTCCCTTTACATATTTGCACGAGCAGGATCTTTCTATCATATAGAAACACCTCTATAGACACGAGATGAATATTTTAAAGAACTGAGTAGGGTAACCATACAATGCGGCAATTACTCCATTCCTGATAGTTTGCCCCCTCGCAGAATCGCGCGAAGCCCTTTTTAAAAATTACACTGACTGGCCCGTCTAAATGAAGGAACTTAAAGCTGTAGAGGAGAAGGGTCCGCAGGCCCATAAGACAGAAAAAACGCACAAAGGCACAGAAGAACCAAGTTTGGACGGTAAACAAACATCGGGTTACATTAATGACGAGTACTTGAAGAAAATTAACGAATTCTGCCGGCAGATATCATTAAACGCAGAATCACGGACAGGAATACGCAAGTTCTTTAGTATGCATCCCCGAGCCAGCGAAATACTGCAGAGACAGCTTTTACGAGGTGATAACTACGCAATACTAAAGATACACTTCATTCTTAACATGAAGATTGACAAAAACATGCTACTTCGCTCATTAAAGGGTTGTAACGTGAGTGAAAAAAATTGTTTCATGATTTTTGAATTGTACTTTTTCAGGTTGTTCGATGACATCGAAACAGCAAAGGAACGATTTGTGATCCTCGAGGATTACCAAGGGCTATTTAAACGGGCGGAATCTCATGCCAAACAGAAAATAGTAGAGAAGGATTGGGACAGATACGAGCAGAGGAAGTATTTTGAGACTTTTGTTAAGGACAGGAGAGTGGATGTGACTAGAATGCATAGAAAACTGGAACAGATGCCGGAAATATTATGTAGAACAAAGAAGCCTGTAGATTTTTTGATCGTGGTAGATCTTGACAGCTTTGGTCATGGATGTGAACAGGCAAAGGACAATATAAATTGGTTGGAACTGAAAACTACCCGAAAAAGCGATATTTCTGATCGCACGTACGTCAATTCGACAATTCGTCAAAAAAATAACGAGTTGGAAATTGTGCTCGATTTTCTGAAGGAGAATGAGTACCGATACGTTTTGATATGCCGAAAGTTTTCGCCCCAGTATTCTTATTTTCACGACTTCGATGCCATAAAAAACGAACACGTCACTTGGTGCGTTAAGTTCGATTACAAATCACTGCTAAAGCAGCACGCCATGAAACGCTGTTTCGTGCTGAAGGACAATGCGGGTTACACGCGTGTGCACAAGGACTGTTACTATATTAGCTTTAGCCGTCTGTACAACATTTTGATAAGTCTTCCGCCGCCAGATGATCGAGATGTGCAGAAAGAATGACCAAAAGCACGCATGGTGAAAAGTGTATCCCATGATTACCGCGTAAACATAAATTACAATAAATTTTTTTACAAACATTTTTTAGGCCTGTGAGTCCAAATGAATATTAATGGTGTAGGTAACAGCGTTTAATAAGCCAAATAATTCAACCAAGGTCCCTATATGCTATGTTTTTCTGTGCCTGCCAACAATCTCGTAGTACACACACGCACCAAACATAACCAAGGTAAAGAGAATGGACCACCGGAAAAAAATAACTACCAATTTTCCTATCCAGCACAGGTACACTAAATCGAATAACAGGCCAATAACACCTTTGTCACCGAGATTTGCACACGGAACGGCCCGAGAATCGACAATTTTTGCTTTTGAAAATTTGTACAGTAGAAGTATAGCCAGTAGCTCGACAAAAAGGTACACAAGACTTAACAGGGTATAGCGTTGGAATGCCAGCAGCGTTAGGACAGGGACCATTGATACAACTTCACCAATGAGCAAGTTCTTGAGAATTTGTTTGTTGGCAGCGATTATTTTCTTATCTGATGCACCAGACATTACTTAAGGGAGAAAATAATGTAAAATAATTAAAAATAACACCATTGAGTGTGCATATGTGCAATTAGACGGGTCACTTTGAATGTGTTCAAAGCTTTTTGTTGGTAAATACTGATCGATTATATTGCTCTCACTAAAATTCGCTTATTTATATTTTATAAATTTCTATTCAGCTGAGACAATGAACTAAACCAAAATTGTTTTCACAATTACAATATTTATTTTAACAGCAGCACATTACTTCACGTAAAATTACCAATTTGTATATGTGCCGCTGTTCAGAATCGTTGTTCGCTTAACACATATTTATTTATCCTCTCATACATCATACTACCCAAATAAACCACTTTTCTAGTTCTTTTGGATCGAACGTAATTTCTAACTTGTGGTTATCCCCGTTCAAGTTCTTGCAGTTAATCTAAGTAAAGCCGTAGTTGTATCCCTCATGGAAGTGGTACCGAAAAAAGTGGACGAAGAAACGAAACAAGATTTGGAAAACAATAGTGATGAAAGTGAAGTGATGTTGCTCAAAATAGATTTGCTTGCAGCATATTTAGAGTCATTGAAAGCATACAACTACTACAATAGGAAAAATAAGCGGGCAAATCTCACGTTCTTAAAAATATCTGCGCTGTTGGAGCGGTTTTTGCAATTTGAGAATAAAAAAAGATACGACAAGAAGACGTGTAGAATATTTACTGAGAACAGGATTGTCGACAAGAAGGAGAAAAACTTAAAACGGGCAGAGAGTTACAATAAATGAGTTAAAAGTTATACGGAACAGATTTTAGTATTGAACATTTAATTTATCGTTTTGAAAAGAACTGGTGATAGCTTGGTTCAATTACATGAGCTAGTAATAGACGAGATGAATTGTACGAGTGTTGGTGTTGTAAATAAACTTACTATCTATTTTTTAAACGTTAGTTCGCAATCTTTACTCTGGCAAACAAGAATACCACCATTTACAGAATATAGACGGGCAGTATGGAATGAATTGTTACGAAGGCATACCAGCAGCTCATTCACCATATTATAAACATACACAGTCTATTTTTATATGATTGTTTAAGTCTGATCAATTTCTGAACCTGGTTTCTTCAGAAACAACTGGACGAGTCTTCAAATGAATGCTATTTAAAAAGTTTATCTTTTATTGGCAAATTGCGTTTTCTGCCAGTTTTAACGTGAATGGATGATAAAACATGATTGCAAAGCGATAAGCACTTATCAATCCTTGTATTCATAACGAGTTGTGCTAATGATTGTCCGTTAAGTTCATAGTATTATTTTTCTTCACAGAGTTCTTAAGAAGTGCTTTTTCCTAGAAAGGCATTTTACGCGTTGATACAAGTCACTAACAGGGCACATACGCAGGAATGATTCGAATATTTATATTTTCGTCGTACGAAAAGGATGTGTGATACGTTGATCAAGCCCTAAAACACTTCTTACTTACAACAACGGACATGGGCCAGAAAAATTAGAAATATGCCCTGTAGCTGCAAATCCCCCGACTATGAGAGACAGCTTTGATACATTCTATGACGAAATTGAGAACAGGTTGAGAAAAGAGGGAAAACTAACAATTAGGAATGCAAATGACACAAAATCGGATGGAGCAAATGAAAGTTTACGTTTAAACAATCGCAAATGGTTCATCCGCACGTATTCACTGGCTGAGATGAGAGCATGCAGACTTACACATAAGATTATTTTAGAAAGTGTGCACGTGGCAGATATTGAACGTTTTCTGCTCAAATCGTTTGATGATGTGCACCTCAATCTGGATACTCACAACAAGATGAGAGAACTAAACATAAATCAGCCAACACCTATTCAAATGCAAGTAATACCGCTTGTTCTCAGCGGATACAACGTTTTCGGACAGAGCACAACCGGAACAGGGAAAACTCTCTGCTTTGCACTACCACTTATAATGATGAAATTGGGACGAGATCCTAGTTTCAATGGAGCTGTAATTTTGGTACCAACAAGAGAACTTTGCCAGCAAATAAAGTCTTTTTTGGAACACTTTGTGGGGGTAAAGAGTGTATTTGGCGGGATGACGACCAAAGCAGGGAAACCACGATGCAGCAAAGGAGCAAACGGTGAAATATATGTAGCTACGCCGGGGAAACTCTTGCAGCAGCTTGAAAAAAATAACTTTGTGCGTGATTTCTCTCATCTGATACTCGATGAAACAGACAAAATGACAAGCATGGAATTCATACGTAATATAAGGGCGGTAGTAGAAAAGATAAGAGATCCGCGGTTTTGTGTGCTCGCCGCCACGTATTTTGATAGTCTTCAGTTCAGAAATCTCATAAAAGTTGATGTGAGTGTTTTTATAGGCAACAAAAATGCAGCCAACGAACACGTGACACAGGTCATAAAGTTGGTTGATGAAAAGTTTGCGTTTGTCAAGGAAATGATCGAAAAAAATGTTTTAATTTTTGTAAATTCCAAGGATGGAGCGGATGAGCTTACAATGAAACTCAGAAATTTGTTCAGGTACGAATATCGAACGGGTTACAGCAATGTTTCGTGTAGCGACTGGAAAAGAACCGCGATAGTAGAATCGCTTCATGCTGGAAAGGAGCAAATAGATAGAAATAGTATCATAGAACGGTTTAACGGTGGATTTATTGATATACTGATATGTACAAGTCTTTTATCGCGAGGCATTGATTTTAAGGTCGATTGTGTTATAAATTATGATTGCCCACACACAGTAGATGATTATATTCATAGAGTAGGACGTACCGGGCGTATGCGATATGGCATTCCCAGGAACGGGATGGCGTATACGTTGTTGGAAAAAAGCGACAGGCAATACGCTTTGAATTTGTACGGTTTTTGGATGAAGAGCGGCGTAAAACTGGATGATAGTATTTTAGCACTGGTGAACGAGTAGACGGGTACATAACAATAGCAAGGACTAGCCAAATATTCTTTTGTGTGTTATTCTGCGTTAGAATTGTAGTTTAAAGCGGTAATTTTACTTAACAATGCCATGATGGGGTATTAATGGTACAACAATGTTTTATAGCAAATATTGATTCGTTACGAGCAGCTCATAAACCTAAAGATAGATATAATATGCCAAACCCGCAATATCTCATACATCTGTACGGTATGACGCATTATCCCTCATTTTCTTCTCTCTCACTAAGTACCGCTATATTCATCATCATTCGGGATAACCATGAGCAAGTACAAATTTACTTAATATTTAACAACACGCTAGCCATCATATAAAAAGCTTATGTCATCGGAGTTGGTAGATACTATGGGCAAATATGGCAATGTAGGCCGATGCACTCTAGAAGAATACCATTACTGATCACCAGCGCTGCACCTAACCATTATGTATAGCACCTTATACGCCACTGCACTTTTATTCTATACGTAAAAAACGTACTGTGATCAATAGCACTTAAGAATGGTGAAAGCGATTCACAACATTTAATTATTACCGCTCCAAGCCAGCATTAAATAAATTACCGCTTTGAACAGCAACATTATAACATTTTCATTTATCTATTGTATTTGTTCATTCTCTGCACCGCTCTCTTCATTTATTTCTTTTAACAAACCATCTACGGTAGTATTTTGGCACCAGAATATTCTTCAACTCTTTCTTAGACCATCAAAATACCATCCGAACTAATTTTATGACGAGCTACAACTTCGTGTGTAAACGAAAAGCATTCAAACTTCAAGCGCAATTTGTTGTTCCTGCCAGCAATTGAAGTGGCCCACGATATCAGCATCACATAAACATTTGTCTTTATCACCTGCTGTAAACAAATACAAGCAAAGATAGGTGGTGCTGGCATGTTGATTTTGTATGAGATTAACATAAGGACGGGGTACTTTAACACCACAATAATGAGAGTAACAACCGTGTTAGGCTACACGCATACTTATTTCACTTATGGCTTCAGGACTATTCGCCTTTTTTTGGACACGTCCATACGCCATTTACAATACGAGATAAGAAATCATAAATCGGAGATTCGGCTGAACGAAATACACACTCTGCAGAGTTGCACAAAATGTGGAAAAGTGTTTCGAGTAGACGGAGAACAAAGGGATTTGCAACCAGACAAACATTGTTGTGTGCGATTTCTGAGTCATATAATATCAACCGAGACGTGCCGACATAAAAGTAAGCAGAAAGCAGTGCTTTTCTACGATTCAAAGGCAAGAAAACGCTGTAAATGGTACGCAACGATTATTTTTAGAAAGAGTATCCGCAAAGATAGATGCTATATTCAGCGGATTGACGAATTAATGGAAGAACATCAAAAAAATACCGGTGATGTAATGACCATACAGCAGTTTTTGTTCTTTAGGAACGACACACAAAAATATTTTGGCATGATGAAAGGTGTGGCAGCGATCGTAAATGCAATTCTTTCTGGATGCTCGTTTATAAACAGCAAATACCGGTTTGAACTGTTCTGGTCGCTGCGGTTTTTGTACAAAACAAAAAAAATGTCGATGAAAAGCGCCGAACTTCTGCACACGCAGATGACACAACGATCTTATCGATCGTACATGAGCATGCTCGGTGTTGAATCGCAACAAAAACTTCATCAGCAGTTGCACCTATACACACGAATTCGAAAATTCCATAAACTATGTAATTTCTTGAAAACTCGCAGCCAAACAAAAAAAATGGCATTCTTGCTGAGCGGATATTACTTTGAAAATAGAACCTGCGTGATAAACGCACCTTCATTTTTCGACATGGATGAGGAGATAAGAGAAATCGTTGTAGACGACATTTGGGTGTACGAATCGTATAACTTCCCGATCAAAGTGTCTTGTAACACAGAAAGTAGACGACTGAACATGCTGTACAAATGTGGTGACAACCTAAGCAACGATTTCTTTATGCTATGTGTTACTGAGTATGTCTCCTACCTCTTGAAATTGAAAACGGCGAAGTACAAGATTTTGCTTTTTGCTAGCCGCTCGGGAGTGATCGAGATGCTGGAAGCCGAGACGTTTTCAGCTACATATAGGAATAAAACTGCCGATCTGAACTCGCTGAGCAGCACACAGCAAGAAGTCCTCTTGAAGACATTTGCTGCCTGTATACTAGTGGCATACCTGTTTGGAGTCGGCGATCGAAACGATGACAACTTTCTGGTCACTTCTGGAAAGTGCGTACTACAGATTGATTACTCATATATCCTGGGCAATGACCCGAAACCGTTTAGAAATAACGTTGTTATTCCGAGAATAATGCAGAGGATTCTTCGCTCTGATGAACTGGTATTTGAGAAATTCATGTCGTACTATACCGAGTACTTCTTTAAAATTCGTGGGTACAAGGACCAATTGCTCGTATTTTTTCGTTTCGTAAATGTTCATCCGTTTTCTGACGCGGATATTATGGCAGTACAAAAATACTTCACGGCCAAGCTACACCTCGAACAGTCCAAGAACGAGTTGGCCCGTACTATGAGAGAGGAAGTTAGAAAGGGAATGACTTTTAAGTTAAGTGGATTGTATGCGATGTTTAATGTATTTGGCAAGTACCTACGAAGATAGGTACGTTCACGGAATGAATAACCCGGAAAACGAGCACATCAACTGCAGAAAACATGGTCAAACGACTTAATTTTGCGAAAGTATCGTTGAGCACGCGTATAAAAAGACCATCGTACGTGCCAATCCTCTGTTTAACGCATTTTAATAAAATTACCATGGCGAATAGCGCTACAGTTCTTGTTTTACAACCTGTATAACATCACCATCACATAAAACATGCTCCTTCCCGACTCGCTGCGGATTGTGTTTAACACTAGCGCCCCATACCCATGCGTACGTAACCTTTTCCTTCATGTTTTTATGTATGGCATCACAGAAGTCGGCAACCGTGCTGTTACGCTTCAAAACCACCGGATCACCAATTTCCATATTCTTTGGCTTCGGAAAAATTCGTATCAAATTCAGCTCTTTCCAGATCCGGTCCTTCAGTCGCTCAATTCCCCAGGCATGGTACGACGAAATAGGGAACGAATTCCGCAAACGACACATTACCTCCAATTCCGCAAGAGAAACCTTATCAACTTTATTTAAGAGGTACAAGCAAGGTATATAAACAATGGAGGACGGGTTGATGTGCATTTCTATGGTGTCGATGATATCATCAATAATTTCGTTCTCAGCATCGTTCACGTTGTGCGAGTAGTCCTTCTCAATGATAATTTCACACGAATTTATGCGGTATTCTTTTAGAATGTCCCTTATAACGACCTCATCGATTTTGATGCTGCTGATCAGATTGACACCTCCCCGTTCTCGCGTGCTAAATTTTATCTTTGGTTTTTCTTTGTTCAGCCTAATGCCAACAGCTTCCAACTCCTCTTTGATTGTTGTCAGACCGGTCAAGCTCTTCGTAGAATCCAGAACAATTACCAACAAATTGCAGGTCTTGGCAACAGAAAGTACCTGTTTGCCCCTTCCAGATCCCAAGCTTGCACCCTTTATGATTCCCGGTAGATCAAGAATCTGCAGCTTGGTCTGGTGCATCTCCATGATACCGGGTACAGTCTTTAAAGTGGTAAACTCGTATTCTGCAACAACGCTCTTTGCATTTGTCAGCTGATTCATCAGCGTGCTCTTTCCAACGGAAGGAAATCCGATAAAACCTATTCGAGCGATTCCCGATTTCCTCACTTCGAAGAAAGAGCCCTTTTTCTTTGCGCTTTTCGATGGCGCAATGAGTTCGCGTGTCAGTTTTGACAATCTAGCCTTCAGAAGTGCAAGGTGATGGGCTGTTGCCTTGTTCTTCTGTGTGCGGGCCATTTCATTTTTAATATCGTTGATCCTCTCCACGTTTGACATGTAAGGGTTCCCAGCACGGTTCAAAATTTTTGTGTAGCGTTGTGACCGAATACACGATAATAACCGCGGTAGAAGAACAAACAAACGAATTACCATGGCGTAGCAAGGCATACATCGATCAATTCTTTTTGTTACCGAAGTGACCCGTTGCTACGATGACGAACTTGAAGAATTCTTCGTATGCAATTGGGTTGAGCTGTTGCAACGGCCTGATTGATATTTGTACCTTTCGTGGTGGCAAATGGCGTGTTATACACCGCAACTGAAGGAGCCCTTGCGGTTTAGGCGGCCAAGAATGGTTTGCAATATTGAAGTCTTAAGCTCATGTTTCAAGCTTATCCTGAAAAAAGTGCTATTACGTAGCGTTTAAGTATAAATAAGAAAAATATGTTTATCTGTTGTTGATGATGTGTGCGGAGGTAAACGTATGTTGGTAAAAATGGCATTGGTTAATGTCCTTTTAAACACAAAATACCGATCTGTGCTTCAAACCGATTCCGTGATACGAGCAGTTGTTTCATGCAGCCAGCATATATTTGTACAGGTCGTAATTATGGGAATCAACGTAAAAATTGCTGTTCCATAAAAACGTGTTTTACCGCTGTAAGCGCACTCATAACCGGTTTTGATGCAAAAGGTCTTTCCCATCAAAACCATCGTTTATTAATCGTAATTTTATTAACAATTGTTCTTTAAAAAGATTTTTTATGCAATGAGAGCATGATGAGGTACTAATTTTAATATTAACAACCAATGATGTCATTGTGAAGGTGAGTACATAAAATACGGTATAATAGCACTGTGCTGCCATAGAATAACATCGTAATCTCAATTACTTACCAATATTCGTTTTATTGAGAGTTAGTTACAAACTTATTCGGGCTGTCGTTCGAGATGCTACGTGCTGCTGGGAACATCGCACATATATCAATGGCTGGTGCGCTAAAGTACTGTTCGATCTCAAAATGATTCTGATTGCTGACAATATCCGTGATATTGTCCTCAACCGCCCATGCCTTCTTCTTAAAACTGGTTTTGAACACATCCTCGTTCTTTGCGTTGAAGGATGGCAAATTGGTCTTCGGAACAAAAGAACTCGGGTCAAACGACTTGCGAGGTGTTGAGAACCTCAGCCCAGACATTTTTTTGTCGATAGCCTTCCTGTAGATCAGATCTGGTCTTCGTGATGTGGGAATGGTCTCTTTGCCAGGCACCTCAAATAAAGGCTTTCTAACGCTTTGATCAACCTTATTGTTCTCCTCCACTCTTATCGACTGATCCATCAGGCTGTTATTTACAAGGATTGATTCGCGTATCTTTTTCTCTAAGAAGAGATTCTTTACTTTCTCAAATGCTTGATTTAGCTGTTTATTCTTCTGCATGAGGATATGCTGTCGTCTAAGCTGCCGTCTTGTTTGGTGATGCTTCTTTTTATATATGTTCAATCTCCTGACGTAGCTGTTGTTTTCATCCTTAAGATCACCGTTGGAGGAGCTATGCGAGGAGGAGGCCTTCTTTGGAAGAAATATTTTTATGCTGCTCTTCCTACAAGGGAATGGCTTCATCAATTCCTCAACCAGCTGAGAATTTTCTATCATCCGCTTGTGGAACCGTTCCTTCTCCAGGTCAGGATTGATATTCTCTTCGTTATGGCTCCTTTCAGGCACGCGCTCGATCTTTCCAGTGATGTCTACGCCAAAAGGCGGCATCTGAACGTTGTTATTTTTCGGCTTTAGCACGTTTTTACTCTCCTCCGCGATTTTTTCGGCCAATCTTTTGCTCACATCGCCCTGCAGCTGTTCAATTTTACTGCGGTCCAGCGCACTGATCAAGCAGCCGCTATAAACGTTCTCCTTTCTAACGCTTTCATCCGTTGTATGAAAAGGATTGTTCTCATCATTCGTTTTTTCATGAACGTTTTCGTTACTCGTTCTGACGGTAGATGCGATGATAGCATCGTTTCTGACATTGCGCCTGCATACACTTCTCGTTTTTTTACTTTCCTTGTTTTTGTCCATTTCAAGTGCGTTTAGATGCTGCTGAAGAAAAGTCACCTGCTCAACAGGATCTTTTGTAAGTTTGCTGTGCACCGCACGTTCTTCTATCCTCGCACCATCTACCGGACAACCCTCGTCTTTTTCCATTTTTGTACCATGTACAGGTTTGTCACCGCATTTTGCTACTCTTTCTGTAGCACTTTCTCCATTTTCATTTCCATTCCTTGTAGATTGCTTTAGAAATGTTGTGGCGTTCCCACGCCTCTTGTTCTTAACCAAGCTACCTATTGCAGTGGTATCGCGCTTCTTTCTTGTCGTTGACCTGATTGTGCTTGTACCATCCTCTCTTTCATGTTCAACTCCACTGACCACCGATATATCACGCTTCATCTCATTCGTTGGATTGTATTTACATTCATCTTCCAACTTTACATATTCATCATCCCTTTGAAGCTCTTTCTTAACCGTAATACTTTTTTGTCTCCTCTTACATGCCTTAATTTCTCTTGTTCTTTTAATTTCATCTTTGTGTTCTTTTACCAACCCGTCTTCTTGTTCCAAATGGTCTTTGCTCTGTTCTTCTTTGCGTTTGTTTCCAACTTCATCTTTAATATTTGATTTCTTCTTCATTTCATCCTTTCTTTTAGTAATCTCCTCTTCTTTCTTCCTAGCCATCTCATCCTTTCTTTTAGCCTCTTCCTCTTCTTTCTTCCTAGCCAACTCTTCCTTTCTTTTAGCCTCTTCCTCTTCTTTCTTCCTAGCCATCTCTTCCTTTCTTTTAGCCTCTTCCTCTTCTTTCTTCCTAGCCATCTCTTCCTTTCTTTTAGCCTCTTCCTCTCTCTTCTTCCTAGCCATCTCTTCCTTTCTTTTAGCCTCTTCCTCTCTCTTCTTCCTTAATTCATCCTTTTTTCTCTCTATTTCATTTTTTCTTTGCTGTTCTTTTAGTGCCAACTCCCTCTTCCTAATTTCCTCTCTCATCTTCATGATCTTTTCCTCCTCTAACTTGGCAATTTCCTTCATTTCTTTTAGTTCAATCAACTGGTAATCATCCAATGTTTCACGCACACCATTCATTTCCTTCTTTACTAACATCTCTCCGCTTGCTACTTTTGTTTTCTTCACATTTCTCTTACGCTCCTTGAACCTTCGCTTTTTCTCTTCATTTATTTCATTTTTCATTAACTTTACGGTTTTGTTCCATTTTCTCATGACCTCGGCGTAAATCGTCATTTCCAATCCTAAGGTTCTTTTTTTTCACCTGCTTAAAAATAGGAGCGGTGTAAAAATTGATGGTGTGTGACACGTACACCCGTAGCTCCGTTAAAACTAACAAACTATTCGCCCGTGTTTGTATTTCACGCGGTGTTGATCCAGTAATACGATTTGGTTACTTCTAAGAATACGCGTAATAAGCACTTAAAGAGAAAAATACAAAGTAAAAAACAATCCTGTAAGGAACAGGATGAGCACAGTATGTAACGCTGGAACTGTGCCCCTAGTACGGTTGTCTCCAATATTTTTTTTCACTAAAAATACTTTATTTCCCACTCCACACTCCTCATCGATAATTTACCTGTTATGCCATTAATTCCGCTTCGATCTGTAAGTGATTATTTATCTAATGGCGTGCAGCAAAACTGCTATCAAAAACACATCTCATGAAGTGTTTTACAGGTACATGTGCATCGGGTAAACCACAAAATACAGAATAGCATAACTTTAGTTAATGGATGTTGACCAATTCCTCAATCCACGGCTCAATATCATCATAGTTGGAACAAAATCGGGAAATAACATCTTTAAACTCCCTGTAATTGGCAAGCACGTCGCAATCTATGAAACAAATGGATCCTTTCGTGCCATCTTCTGTTTCATAGGCCGTTGCATCGTTATAATTAAACACGAAGTTTGTTCCGATCACCTCAATAACATTCTTGATCTGGTCAAGTATTTGATTATCCTCGTATTTTTTGATAACGCCTATCGATCCTGAGCTGGTCGAGAAATAGTACGTGTCTCCGTCTTTCTTTATGTTCAGCGAGCCTCTTTCAATGCATATTATTCCCTCCTGGTAGTTGAAGCTTCCTTGCTTGATTATTTCGTTGTCCAAATCATCACTAACACAGTTGAACAGGTTACCGATTGCATCCGACACCAAATACTCGTCATCGATTTCTATTCCTTCATCAGCAACGAACTTTTCGAAGCACCGGTTTCTCTCTATGATGGTATTGGTCTCAGGATCGAACTGATAAACAGAGAAAGAGCGGAACACGTCACATATCATCAGGTTAAACGCGTTGAACCTGATTTTCCATGGAAATATAGGACAGGGTATCTGTGCAAGCTCGACCAGTACCTGGTTCAAAACGCTATAGATCGTCAGAAAAACACCGTGTGATGTAGCTATGTAGTCCTTATACACATCAATGGAGAATAGCGCACCCTGCTTGCAAACCTCATAGATCTTCTTCATCCTTTTTATCAAAATCAGCTTCGAAAAATTGTTGTCCTGAGAGTCTTTGTAATTCGTTGCTACAACGAGGTATTTGTTTATTCTCTTTGCTGAGCGTATCACTTCATTAGCAATCGTTATATTACGCTCTTTGCCTCTCTTAACGTGTGTAAGGATCGATGAGCAGTCTTGTCTGTATCCTAGGTAAAAATCGTGTCTGCCCTGTGTCAAAAAAAGACCTTCCCCTTCGATTGCTCTCTTTTTGATCTTGAACACCGGCTCAGGCCCTAGTTTTGCTGTAAAAATGGACTTCTCTCGGGTAAATAGCAGAACATCACCACAATGCATCGAAGACAGATCATTCAGTTCAGTATCATAGCAGACCAACTGCTTGCTAATGTAAATTACATTTTTACCAACAGCAAACACACCATCCCTGTATTTCTCCAAGTGTATGATATGTTCCATTTTGAAGAGCAGTTTGGCCTGCTGCGTGGTCAGGTCCATCACATAAATTCTTGATGTGAGTGTACTTACAATTAAATAGGCGTTGCTCATTTGCTGTGCGCTTTTCAGGCACTCAAAATCGAAAACCTTGACTTTTACTAAGTCCTTGCTCAAAATATGCATTTTGTTATCAAAAGTGGACACCATCACAAGATCTGATACGCATTTTATCAGGCTGATCTCCGCGTTAAACACAATTGCGCAGCGTAGGAAGAAGTTTTGCGTGTCATAGACATCTATTTCCTGTGAGTCTGTGTACACTACCACATGATCATCCCCAATATCCGACAGAACGATATTTTTTGATTCCTTGGCCGTAAGAAAGGTTGTTAGCTTGTAGATGTGCGTCTTGGTGTTGAACACACAGCAATTATCAAGCACCTTCAAGTTCTGTATCTCTCCTATCTTCTCCCAGACCGTCTTGCCCCTCATTATCAGCCCCTCGTTTAGAAACGACACGATGAGGTACTCATCGTACCTCCAGGATCTTTTCACAATCTTAGGAAAGTTAATGTGCTCTTCGTATTCTACCGGTATTTTATAGCTCATCTCGCACATCGAGTTGTTGAAGTTCATCCCAGATAAAAAGTGCAGGTCCTTCCTAAAATGCAAATTTGTGGGCTGTGAAACGTTCTCAAGCGTGTCTGTGACCGTTACGGTGTTCTGAATCTGGAAAAGAATGCTGTGGCCGTAAAATGACAGTCCGAACAGCAAGTCATTCGTTGGAACAACGCAATCAATTGTATCGCTGAATCGGTGCAGAATACTTACCTTGTCACAGATATACACCAACTCTCTATCCTCCATTGTCAATAGCAGTCCATTTTTGTATTCTATACCATTTATCATGGACGGGTTTGCGAACTGCATGTCCACATGGTTGTCGTCATCGATAATCGTAACCATCCCGTCCCTGAATACGTACAACTTGTCACTCGCCATAAGTATCCTGTGTGCGTTTGACATGATCTTCCTATCTTTGAACATGATTCCCTTCTTGTTCTCCTTGAAAAGATAGTGGTGGATGTATGTCTTGCCCTCGATATCGCCCAGCAAAGCAACTATCTCATTCTTGTGCACCAGGATGTCGTACACATTGTACGCCAGCAGGTCTTTAAGATTGTCATCTATTTTTATACTATTACTGGCAACATGCATTATGCTCAGCTTGTTGTTGTTGAACAGTATCACTATCTTTCCGTTGGAATACACGCATTTCTGTATTTTATTCTCCACTCTCCAGAACCTCTCCTTTGACACTCTTCCTCTTTTCACGACTTTCTGATCGCTAAAGACCACATATTGGTTGTCAAGAGATATCAAAACAAATTTCTTGCTCTCGATCGGAATTATGGACACAACAAAGGAGCCCAACTGCAAATCTCCTATTTTTTTAAGCTTGCCAGCAACTATTTCGTAGAAATTTATGTACTTCCCTGTGCTCACAGCCAAACACATCTTTTGCTGGTAAAAAACATTCGCAGCGCAGATCACCGAAGATGATTTTTTGATCGTCCTGATAGCAAAATACATTGCAGGGGCTGTGAGAATTTTAGAGCTTTTGGACACGAAGCGATTGCTTGCTACGGACAAAGCGAGGAATAGGCGCTGCAGCTAATAAGCGAGTTTGCTTTGGGAAATTACAGCTGCAAAAGAGCAGAAGGCAAGGAATAGGGTGTATCACAGCATGGTACATCCACTAATGTTGATCTAATACTCAGCGACATTCTACATAGCATTATGACTGTGGTAACTCATACGGGACTTTCACTCAGGAATTTTGTTAATTAACAAAAAATTAACTGCTGAGCAACCCGTGCACAGATGTTGCTGCACGTGAGCGGTATTTTCTCATTAGTTCGCTTATGTTCGACCCGTAGACCACAACTATTCGTTTTTACACACGATTGCAGAAGAAAACAAATTTACGGCTTTACAAGGAAAGATACAAATTGGTTAGGAAACAAAAAATGGGAAGGAAACAGACTCTGTAACGAGACGTTATTCAATACCGCTCAAAAATTAACAACCTATGTCATCCCCAAAGTAGGGCAAATACGATTGAAAACAGTTTACTTCAAATAAATGAAAAAGTCATTTTCGTTTCCACACAACATAAAACGTGGTTAGAAATATGTTGATTCAGCACTTCCCACACGTGTGATTGATTGTATTTAGAGCTTGTTGTTGGCTCATGGTGAATCAAAAAACACTTCATCACCCTCCTCAAAGGCAGGGAGTCCGTAGAAGGGACAATCTCCGCACCTGAACGCATCTCCCATCTTACATCCACCACATCCTGCATTTGCCAGTTTTTTGATCTCTTCTTTGTTCATTTTCTTGAGATCCTCTGGATCAAGCTTCTTCTTTCCTTCCGCCCTGCCACAAACGCAATTTTCACATGCCCGCTTTTTTCTTTGAACATTTCTGCGGTTTAAGGTGTTTCCCGCAGAGTCCTCCTCAAATAACTCTTGTTCATCATCATTTGTCCGTCTATTCTTTACTTTTAATGCACCCTCAAGCAGTTTCTTGAAATCGTTGTTTTCCATGGTTACCGCGGTTTCTTGGGGTTTAAAATTCGAGCGATAAATATGAAACGGTTTCACACTTTTTGGCCAATTATCGAATACATCAATGCACAAATACAAAACAACGTATTGATCAGCACAATATTATCAAATTACCATGTATTAACAGTATCAAAGATATAAGCACACGCACGACTTGGTCTTACAATTTTTATCAAATTAACTTCATCACCATCCTTCCACATCGTTGCTCTCTAAACCAGCAAAAACTCATCCATTTTGTTTTTGCTGCTATTATTTTTATAAAACGGCTGTTACGCTTTATTGCCAATCTTTTTTAGTTGTGAATACTTTTAGAAGTCAAAGAATTATTTATGCATCCGAATGGTGTTCTTGATTTGTAAAAGATGAAACTGCCGTAATGAGATAGCAGAAAAGTCTCTTGCACAAAAAATAAAACGATACGTAGTTTCTATTGAGAATAAGCATTTAAATTTGAGATATATTCTGTGGCACCTCATCTACTAATTCTTTTTATTACCAGGTTTTAAAGTTTGCAACAGCTTTAAATTGGTGCAACGGTCTGTTTGTACGTGTTCATACCGACAAACACCAGCAGCAAGTACTTGCCAAGCGCTAGTTATCCAGGCTTTAGTTACCTGCAGTCATCGTAAACATCGTCTTAAGGTATTTTTTAATCCACCCCACTTCAATGATACTGGCGACAAACAGCATCAAAAAGATTGAAAAGGCGAGTAAATCGGATGATAACCAGCAGTTACTGAGTAGTATGCAGGAAGAAATAGATAAGAACGACCAGGAGCTGTTAAGCACTATTACGACCTCATATGCGCAAATCATAGACTTTTGCATAACGCTGAACGGGGTGAACGAATCTTTGGAGAATCTGATCGAATTAAACAACCAGAGCAACAGCTACTTGCAGGACACCGCACAGAAGATTAAAACAAATCTTGAAGAGTTGAAGAGTATCGATGAGACAGAAAAAAATATCGATGATGCGTTAATTGCGCTCCAAAAAATTGATAAGTTTGATGTTTTGATCGAAACGCTGCAGGAAACAACCGATATTTGTGAAATAGTTGCCAAATTGCAGGAACTTGAGAGATATTCGCTTGATTTCAGGAAGTTCAGTTTTTACAACAAGTTTAATTTGAGGTTGATCGATAACAGAGATAAAGTACTGAAGAAAATTAAAAATAACGTGAAAGAGTGGATAAACCAGATCAAGGAATTGTTCAATTTCTTGGGATGCGAATTTGTGAAGAAGATGAGCGCTGAGCACTCGGTAATTTTTGATTTTCGATATGATTTGGAAAAGAATGTGCCGATCCAGGAAGTATACGATTTCTTGTACATTTTTGGAACGTTGAGGGATAGGCGAGAAATTATAGACAAAATGAATTATTTGAGAAAGAATCTTATGCTTGGTCTTATCAACGAGCATAGTGATGTACAAAACGATGTATACAATGTGATAGGCTTTCTTCTTATAGATTTTTATCTGCTGGATGTGGACATATCGTTTGATTTGAAGGAGAATTACGGAGAATTGGTGCGTGGTTTGTTGCAAAGCATGAGGGACAAACAGTCTGATGTTTATGAGCGAAAGAACGATCTTCTGGTTTTGAAGATGGCTCTGATGATGCTTAGTTACAGGTACAAAGATGCCGACGATGAGCTGTTCAAACTGATATTTGCGTTTTTCCAAGAGGAGAAAGCCAGCATTAAGAAGTTCACAGATATTGAAGCTTACATCGAAAAATGCAAAGAGATCATGAAAGGATATTTGATTAGAGATGTTCAGATGTTGTTTTACAAAAATGTTGATGATCTGCTGTTGGAGTACTTTTGTCTTGACGAGGAGTACCTGAGGGTTTTAGATAGAGTGTGTGATGAGTTTGCCGGTTATAAATTCAGGGCACAGAACAAAAGGGAGAAAGAGACAGCAAGCAACTACAACAAAATCAAGGATTATCACCGCAATGTAATGGATAAAGCGTTGGATGAACAAAATATTGACGAGTTTAACAAGTTGATTCAGAAAGAAACCAGCGAGTTGAATGGTATGCAGCTTAATGATAGCCAGAAGAAAGGATTAGTTGATGAAATTAAGGCATATTGCTTGAGTAAATTGCAAAGAAAAGAAAAACTTAACGATCCGAAGAACAAAATCAATTACAACGCTAAAAGAGCGCTATTAATGAAAATGTTTGATCAAAACTTACGTTTGTAGAAGTATTTCATTAAACTCAGCATGAAAATAATCTTATCATCAGGTCTTCCAGGCTACGCGCCTTCCTGATTATTTGCGTATGCACAATTGGGGGACAAGACCGAATACTTTAATTCTGTTTTCTACTATCAATGTTGCACACATCAAATAAATTGGGTCACGTATGATTTACGGAATCATAAGTAATTTTGGTTGGAAATGCATGTATGTATCGTGGTGGCGAACTTTAAAATGCTTCCGGTAGGAGTTCATGGTAGAACCTGTCAATAAAGGAATTTTTTGTTTTAAATCCGAATTAATTACGAATTACTTTAAACAGGATTTAGTTACGAGAATCATAGGACAAATTCATAGTTAATGTTAGTACAGAAGCAAATTATGCTTTTATTGTATACGAGGTATTTCTGTTTTTCTAGTCGGTTTGTGTTGTCAATTATCTAAACTGCAATAATACTCCCGCACCTAATAACTCCCTACATATTTATACTTAGGAATATTTTGTAGTTTTATTTCACACTCATCAGATCTGGTGAGCTGATTAAACACGGTGCAGACCATAACTGCTTTAAACTCAGAATCTGCCAACAACTCGCCTGTGGTAATGTCGATAGGCTCTGCATGCAGCGATACGAATATAGTGCCGACTGGCATGCTCCACGGTACCACAAGTCCGGATAACGAGATAACGGAGAACCGATGGACCTAAGCAACATTAATTACCAATAAATGGTCCATCAATATCAACATTAAATAAATCCCTGTCTTGGAATAGCAAAATTGAATAATTTAGCTTACTGAGGGGAAAATTCATGTAACCCGCAAAAGAATGGCAGAACGCGAAATTACACAACTATTCCGTAAATTACATACACAGATAGTTAAAATAGATTTAATTATTAATAATTGCCAATACTCTTTCTTTTTCTCTTGGATCCATCGCGCTAAAAACTTTGTATCCAAACGTACCGTTTTCTAGAGACGGCAATATTGACCGCAAAAAGCCCTTAACGTTGATATTTTCAAGGGGTGTCACAAAATACACGTCCTCCTCCAGATATTCATCGCTCTCGTCGTACTCTGTTTCAACATCATCCTCTGCCTGTTCGTTGCTCTTTATTCTCTGGCGCAGTACCTCGGCCTGATCATAAGTGTAGAGAAGGTGAGTGAAGAGCGCCAAGAACCTTGTAACTTCGAAATTTTCTTCAAAACGCATGATATTCGCACAGAACAACAGCCCTATCTTTTTGTCGTGCACCCTGCTGAATCGCTTTTTGACATTATACATGTCCTGTATGTACACATCCATGTTCGGTTTCAATATCGTGTACACTCTTGTGCCACCCGAGCAGGTGTCAACGTTCAGGGCATTAAGAAGAGTCTCTAGGCCATAGACAAGGCTGTTGTTATCCAGCTTTGAATAATTGTCGAAGACTACCTTCAGGAAGTGCTCCATATAGTTGACATCAGCAATATACTTTCCGTTTAGAATCAGGCTCTCGATTATTCGACATCCATTAATGAAATCTTCATCAAACAAGTATTCATCGTCCTGGTAACACAAAGCATCGATAAAACTCACTATTTTGTCCAGGTTTGATACCGCGCAGTGACTGATATAGTTATCCAGGAGATACGTCATCTCCTCGGAACAGTTTATCAGCTCTTTTTGATCGGACTCTAAAATCATACGGATCAAATCCAAAATGTTACGGTCACCTGTCTTGAAAACGTAGAGAATATTGCTAATTATATCCAAGGTTTCGATGTAAAAATCGTACTTCTGGTTTTTCAGAACGTAAAACAATGTGGGAAGCACAAGTTCATAAATTTTGAAAACCACATCTTGCTTTTCCTCAAGGTTCAAAATCAGATCACTTATAATCCTCAGATAAGGCGTTGTCTCTATGTTGTCAATCTTAACACTATCAATCATCTTCTTACACAGATCAACTGCATAACTGGAAATGTCAAACGTATCAATGACCGTTTCGAGTGTCTCGCTAATCTGCTCAAGATTCAGGGGGTTGTAGACCAAAGTATTCAGGATAATCGGTAAATTACGTTCCACATCATTTCGGAGATCTGAGGCATCGAAGAATATGGGCAAACAAAGCGCCGAGTTAGTTCTTATGCTTTCATCACTGCTTTTAAGCGCAGCAAGAACCATGTTAAACACTTTTCGCCTGTCTTCGCCTATACTTCCAATTTCCATCAGCTGCAACGCGTAGAAGGCCTGCGACCTTATAAAATCGCAGGGATCCTCCAAGCAAGTCTTAACAGACTCAACAAAGTCGGGATACAGGTTACAACCACGTAGCAAAGGCTCAGACTGCACAAACAACGACAATCCCACGTACCTTTCCTTTGGATGCTCTGATCGCAACAAATTCTTCATGTACTGCAGAATAGCATCCTGTTTGTTGCTGACTTTCAGAATGTCCGTGAACAGCAGCGAGCAAGAGTTATGCGTGTCATCGGAGTAATTGTACTTCAACTTAAGATCATCGTGTACGTCCGTGTCCTTGTATGCCAAATTTGGTATTATTAACGTTTCTATGAGCGAATTGAGCATATCCTGACGCAACACGCGATCAGAATTTTCATCCTGGCAGTATAAAATGAAATACTCGGCTTTGTACTGGTCATATCCTCGTAGGCAGTAGAAATAGTTGAGAATGCGCTCGTCATTTCGGATGTCGTCGCAGTTTAAAAGCCCTTTGAATGATCTTGTAGAAATTCTCAGGAGAAAGGTGGCTGAATACTTGTCGGTGTATGTCAACGCGTGAGAAATAGCCTCTCTCAAGAAGTTACTGTCGAGCATTTGTGGCGGTACGTAGTAATTATCGAATATTTTGGAGAGCGTCTTTCTAAACTCCTGACAATTTTTCAACTTACCAAAGAAAAGAAGCGGATCAACGTCCTGTAGAAGCGAGGAGGTTGCCGCGTTGGAGAACTTCGTCCTATCTCTCTCCGCATACGCATTCAGGATCAGAAGTGCGGTGTTCAGCGACTCTTTGCCGAGATCACCTCTTATTATATTTTGGAACTCGGCAACATACTCCTTGCTCTTAGCTACGTGTTGTGAGATGATTTCCCCGTATATACCGGCGTTTAGGGGGTCCTTAACCGCCAAGTTCACGGCATCCAAGTTCAGGTCTTCAACGACAGCATTCTTGAAAAACGTTGCACTTACCTGCCGTATTATGGGATCACTGTCCTTCATATAGGTGCCAGGAAGCGAATACACGAATTCCTTGTTAGATACAAGTTTTTGCAGTTCATCTTCTGATTCTCTGCGTCTCTGTGGATCGGGGTTTAGCGTGTTCTGAAAAAGATGCTTAATTGCCTCGGTCATTACAAGGGCAAATTTTTTTTTATTTTAAAAAGGTACAAAAAATTAAATCACTGTTTTGGCGACAGCGGATTTCATCACGATGCCGGTACGCACCGCTAATTTGATATTTATTTCGTTTAAACCGGCTATTGCTGAGTGAAAACGGTGCTTTTTGTTAATTCATGATTTATATGCGGGCAGAGTGCTGGTCAAAGTGGATCAAGAACACGAAATTTTGGCGAAAATCAACTTTGTTAATTACGTGTGCAAAAACCGCATCCAATAACGTCATCAAAAGGAACATTTGACCCGTTATAGACAGAAAAATTGTTCGAATTAACGTTCACATTGTTCAGTGATAAATTAAAATATAGCATTTAATTGGTGCGTTAATGTTCGTTATAGCCATCAAATACACAGCGGAGATGAAGGCATCGTAAATGAAAATACGGAAGTGTGATCCACATGAACTCTAAAGCATTTAATTGCCGTACAGCAAACACATCCGCTATATCCTAAGCAGGAGAATAACTGATAAAATGAAGACTGGTGCAAGCGTTTTTACTGAATATGCTTTTAGTGAACGTAGCGCGCAATTTACCACGGATTAAGTAAGAACAAGGCCTATCGCACGATTCTATTCAGAAAAATCAACATGGTAAACCTTCAAGTAGCCGTCATCCGAACACGTAGCAAGCGTATTGTTATACCCGGTGTATTTCACACAATTTATGTCATTTTGATGGGCATCCTCCAATGAGCACTTGACCTGTAACGTGTCATCAACAATTACCAATGACTTGCTGTCAACCACCAGTGCCAGAAAGCTTCCAACTCTACAGAGTGAATAAATGGGATAGATCGAAACGTTGCAGCAGTAATCAAAGATCCAATCCTTTTCTTTTTTATAAACGTAAATGCAGCCATCGTTACTCGCTATAAAGAGCTTTTCCAGTACCTCCACGTCCCAAACGGTCTCCTTTTGTGCTTCCAGCGATTGTAAAAGAACCCATGAATCGTCATACATCGTAAAACGCTGATATATCCTGACAGTGTGATCGTACCCGTACGTGTACAGCAAGCCGCCGAAGAATTTAACACCTTTTACATCCTGGGTGTGATCCTCAAGTATGGAATCAATCTCAATCTTTTCGTTCAGTTTGCATACCCAAACGGTTTTTCCTCGCGTGCTGAGTGATATGTAATTATCCTTCCTATCGCCGCTCAGTATATCAACTCCTTTGATCTCTGTTTCCGGTCCCTCTATCAAATCCAAAATTTTGTCCTGGTACAGGACCGTAGCATTGCCGTCATAGCTACCGCAGACGATCAAATCGTCTTTTGCTGAGATGCAACGTATCGATTTTTCATGCTGACATAGAATCTGCCGTTCCTGTAGATCCATATCAAGCTTATAGAGCGTTCTATTGGTTCCGCCAGTTAATATGGAGTTATCTGTCAATGCCAAGGAAAGCAATTTCTCATCAAATTGTACGCAACCCCTTTCCACTATTCTCATACTGCCAAAAAGGCCTCAAATATTTTTACAAATTATAAATCGCACTTCGATTCCCAAATTGCTGTTTTCTCATTTCATTCTACACCTGATATTGCTGCTCTCTTTTACCTTTGATTTTTGATAAGTAAAGGCAAATTTTCTTCTTTAAAATATCCTTTGGTACTATTCATACAACACAAACAAATGTGTTTTTTCGTGAACATATTTCGGAGGTATCGCGTTTGTAACTAGAGCTGCTAGTGTGTATGGAGCAAACCTACATCCACGCAAGTTTGTAGGGCACATTAGACGGCTTATATTTAAATATTACAGCCATTTTAACAGCACCTTTTTGTCTATAAAACAGATTTTCATGTTACGTTATTCAAATTTTTGTGCTATAGCTATAAAGTTAAACAGCAACACGTTTCACGCGTGGCATGTTATCTTACGTATTCTAATTGTGCGTGTTGTGAATAATTAATGTGAGAAACCGAGTAGAGATGCGCTGCCATCTTTTCGTATTTTGTAGCATCAATATGACTGATTCTGGTCATGACCGATACAAATTTCTGTTTTAACAGTTTCAATTTCCTTTTATTACGAAACATTGCGAGTGTTATGTCCTTATTCAAACAAACACACTAATACTGCAAGGAGTACAATCTATCTTCTGACAAAATATCAATTTTGTATTTCACATGTTCATCACTGGAATTGTAAATTTCCTTCAAAGCTATTTTACGTTTCATAAGCGGTTTAAAATGTCAAACATTTTCACAAGATAAAGGAAATAATATGACACGAACCTTATAGAAGCCATAGCATGTTTTATGGTTTGTCCGCGAATGTTTTCTATTTCCTGATCAAATCCTGCTAGAACCAAAGTAAATTTCAACAAAACACTAAATCACCTACCAGCAAAACCAATCGTAGTGACAATACCATGCCTAAGATAACTGATGTCTGCAAGATGGTCCAGCTAAACAACGCGTTAGACTCACTAGCTTGATAACTACGGTTTCCCATTTTTATTTTTCTACATTAGGAAACAAAATTTTTATACAGAGAACGGATTATGCTGCTTGGCTTGTTTAAACCAATACTTCATATCGTTCTCCATGATCATCTGGCAGCAGCAAAAATGATGGTAATAGAACAACAAGCAACTAACATAGTGGTCGAACAGCAGGAACACATGTGTACCTGCAAAAAAATCAGCGCTACCGCTCAACTTTACCGGATCCTAAATTAAATCGAATTGCATGCACCCTTGTTTAATGTTCACGAAGAAGGATTTTGAACATGTCCAGATTCTTGAAAGGAATTTTCTGTGCTCATACCACATAGTAAGGTACCAATTATATGACAATCCAGAAAACGAACAGTCAAAAAGGACAAAATTTTGCCGCGGCTTAATACGCAATGAAGGATGTATAAAAGAGTTTTTCTTTAAAAGGTTATTTGAAAGAAACAGCCTCAAACTGTCACAGTTCCACGTTTATTTTATGGTCAGAATCATGAAAAAGAAAAAAATGGTTAACTATGACAAATTAAAACTTTTGAAGCAAGAGTTTGATGTCCGACGAAGTATAAGGCATACTTTTTTGATCAACTTTGTCTGTTCGTTTCAGGATCTCAAACAAGTGTATTATATTACTGAGTTGGCATTGGGTGGATATTTTTTCTATTACCTAAGGGATAGGAAATACTTGTCTAGTGATGAGGCGGCCTTTTACATAGCAGAAATTATTATTGCGATACAATATCTCCATCGAAAGAGATTATTGTATAGATCGTTGTTTCCTAATACTGTAATGTTAAGCGAAACGGGCCATATTAAGTTAAGATTTGATTTTCTTAACAAACAGGGTTTGGAACTGAACGATTTCGAAAATCATATTCAGTACATTTCAATTGACTATATCAGTGGTGACTTTGTCAGGTCTGATAGTGATTATTGGGAAATAGGCGTTATTTTGTATGAGATACTCACGGGGTACAACCCGTTTCTTGGCAATAGTTTTATCGACACCCGATATAACATCCTGTACAAGCCCGTCGAGTTTCCTGAATCGTTTGACCTGTCCGCCAAGGATTTGATACAATCGTTGTTGAAACGCAATAGAAAAGAACGGCTAGGTTATATGCCAGCTGATGCCAAATTGATTAGAAATCATCCGTTCTTTAGAAGGCTGGACTGGGATGCCATGGAAGAGTGCCGGGTACCACCACCAATAGCTATAAAAACCGAATTTGAGTCTTCGAAAACATCACGAAGTTTAGACGACATGTTCGACTTTAACTATCATCATGATCAGACTGACGGTTACGGTGAGGCGTTCAAATTTTACGGAGGCGGACAATTCAAAAAATACAAGCCATGGTGATATTTTATTAAAACACATATCGGATACAAAACCATTTCCAAATCTCTGCGTGATATGGAAATATAAAATGCCGAATATAGAACTGTTCTTAAATTATTCTGGATTAAGGGGTGAGAGTGCCAGATTTATTCGAAATACGTCCGAACAAATACATCCGTATGATAACCTGATAGTTTGGATAGTACTAAGAGCGTTTAGCAGCGAATAAAATGTGTTCTGTTGCAACAACGTTGCTCTGATCATAAGGGAAGAGTGATACTTGGGATAGAAACATGCTAGGCAGTCTATCACAATAATAGATATGTAGAACATCCATGTATAATTAACTGTATCATGGTTATTCTAAGAATGATACTTGCTTATCGATAATTACTACCTAGAAAACGAGGAATGTGTTCTTGGTTCACAATTAATAGCGAATAAACACAAACAATTTATATCAAACCTGTCGGTTTAACCACTTACCGATTAACATAAACAAAAATTGAAGTTTAAATACAAAAATACGCACATATTTAGAGTTCTTCAATATGCAAGTACTTTTTAAAGAATACAAGAGTTTTGAACTAATATTCATTAAACAACAGCTCCTTGTACATATCGTGTTTTGACTCTTTTTCTGGTTTTAACCATTACAACACTTGAGCTGATGCTAAGTATCGACATTATTTAAACTCTCACATAACGAATATTATCTAACGATACAGCACTGTATTTCTTAGATAATTTTACAATAAGCATCATATAAACCAATTTTTATAGGTCTCTTTGCGTAGCACTGTGAGTTTTAGAAATGCTGTAGGCATTCGTGTCATGAAAATGATGGAATTGGATCCGCCATGCGGTTGCCTAGAGATCGTGAAGCGCCAACTCGTTAAAGAGAGTGTTATATGGCGACACGTACCAGAGATAATGCGCTTGAATCCGTTGGAAACTAGCCTTGAGCAAGGATTGATGGAGACTAACAACACGGACATTTTCTCAAGAAGACACGTGCGTATTCCTACAATCTCAATACAGGATTGTATAAAATCAGCCACTAAGATCAACGGCCATGACCGGAGTATGTCCTAAAGAAGCATATTTATCAGAATAGGTGTAGACAAGCTGTTGTCAGGTAACAACAGCGAGGTCAAATCTTTGTTGAGTGATGAAGCAGTCCTTATGTTTAATAAACTGAATATACGTAGTATGAGAATGTTAGAAGGGTATCATAATATTTATTTTCTCTGGGTCCCCTTTACCCGATGTTTAAAATTCTGACTATCGAGAAGAGCTCTTACATAATTGACACGTTATACATCGGTGAAATTCTGGTTGCTGCAACAAGCAACGCTGTTTATTTTTATGACAAACATGATAAATTGGTGCATGTCTTGAAGATTTGTCATATAAACAAGGTGAAATGGGAAAAGGAAAGGTTCTTCGTGTTGAGTGGTAAAACGAAACTGCATGTACACGAGATTTTGAACTATAAAGACATTGTAACTGATAACAAGTCGGAGAATTTCAAAGTTAGAAAGGCGGGATGCACTGATATAAAAGAGTATGGTGGTATATTGCTAAGTTATGAGATTGCTAATATTCATAGCATATATTATTTGAACGTTTCTGATACTTTTATAGTATTAACGAGCTTGTGTGGCACGTGCTATATTCTGGAAAGAGACTCACTTCGCTATGTAGGCAGATACCATTTCTTAGCTATCCCGCTGGAATTAAAGACGAGACAAGATTGGCTGTTCGTGCTTTCGAAACAACACACGAAGTACTACTTCACTAAATACAAGATTGGAGTATCTGTTAAAAATGCACTTGTTCCCGAGGAATATGTTGTTCCTGTAGACCGGTACAGTCATGTTCTCATAGAGAAGGATTATTCGTTTGAGCTGGATAAATGTCATTCATTTGTGATTACGAAAGAGAGGTTGATATTCCTTTCCTCCGATAAAATCGTACTGTACCACGGTTTTATAAAACTATTTGTGCTTGAGGTAAAAATTTCACCTGATTGTTATCTTGTGATAGGCAATACAGTTTTAATCGTGGACTGCAATGATAGGGAGCACATCATAGAAGTCACAAGCAACAAAGTTATCCATGAGTATGACAGCGCCTTTACAGAGCAATATAAACAACAATATGATTCGTTACGTCGTTGCACGAGAGCTCGTACATTTAATCCGATAAAAGGATCAATCATACACTTAGGTAGCAATGAAATTATCCAATATCGGTATTTTGATACTGTATATAGGGAATTTGATGTAAAATGCGAACAAAACGAGACAACAAAAACTTTCTCTGGTCCAATTAAGAATTACTTCGTGTATGAGCCATACATTTTTGTTGTTGCTAACAAAATAGAATTTTTTGACGTGGAAATGCTGAAAAAAATGGTACATACCGGGCTTGACGGTGCCAGAACGAATTTGGTAGCTTCCCAGGTTGGACAGTACCTCAAAAATACTTTTTTTGATCTAAAGACTCTTGTGGATATAATAGTGGTCAAGAAGAGCGTAATCATGATATTCCAGACGTTTTTAATCCTAAAGGAAGAAAAATACGATGTTGTGTACACGGCTTACCACATTAATAGCAAGTATTTGGTTTTTTCTAACAAGAACACTGTAAAATTACTACGACTGAAGCTGATAGAGAGCGTTAGCCTAGATCGGACCGCCGATATATTCAAATGTTACACGTTCAATTTCGTTATTTTTGACGTACTAGTGTACAAACGAACGTTTATTCTTCTCACTGGAGATAGAACCATCAGAATTTACGATTTCAAAAAGCGGTCCTTCGTGTTTATCCAATTTTTCCTATGCAACGTTAGTACGGTATTTCTCATAAAAAATTTTCTGTTCGTTGTATCAAAACACATTTTAAAGACCAGAATTTCCAAAAATTACGAAATCACAGATCAGAAAACGATTGGAGGTAACTACGAGTTTGTTTCGAAAAAGAGGTATAATTCGAAACATAGCGAGAAAATGCTACTGTGCATCAAACAAAATGAGCACTATAAGCATTTTTTGGTGACCAAAAGGAAAATTTATGAAATGAGCAAGGATGAATTATATGTTTCCGCCTACTCTGTAAAATTTTCAGATAATAAAATGAATTTTTATGAGAGGAAACAGCACTATCGACTCAAAAGCACACATACTGTAGATAAAACAGCACCTATAGGCACAAGTAGCATGATATTTGTGGGAGATATAATGATTTTTAATCATGTCGATGGTACTTACAGGGTACGGTTCGGTGAATCTAATGAGAAACAACATGATGGCTATTTAAAAGCTGCAGCCAACTTTAATAACTGTTTATTAGCACTCGTTTGGAGAATGGATAGATGCTTTCTAGACATCATAGAAGAAAAAGGTGTTGATTCAATACAACTTAGCCGTGATTATGATTTAATAACTGCCTGTGACGACAAGATATTGCTAGTCAAACACGAAAAGATATTTTTGTATGATTTCATGGATAAAAGTTCTAAGAAACGAAAAAAATACGAAATCAGAGCGAATGGCGGCGTCTATATCACTGCGCCATCCCCTATTTTAAAGATAATCGGTAGGAACCGCTACGTTTATTTGATAACCAAAAAGGATGCGTTGATGATTTTCTATAAGACCAAGCTTAAGTATTCGATCTTTGAAACACAGTACCTAATTAATTTTGAGGTACTCAAAGATGACCTCATAATTACAAGCGATAAAATCGGTAAAATACGCCTATACAGAATTGTAGATGATATTAAGCTGATGTTTGTGCGTGATATACGCGATATTTTGGTTTCTGCTGTGCTAGTTGGCGATATTATCTATTATTTGACCGGTAATGGTACCAAGGGAATGATCCAAATAAGGTACAAAGCGCGAAACTAAAACACAGTTTAGTAGGGACAACTGTTCAGAGGCATGATCAACCATGGTATGGCGAATGAAGGAACCTCTAGTTTGCTGTTTCATCCAGCAATCCCAGTATGATGCATGCGCCGGTTTAGATGCCGCTCCACCATCAATGTAGGTGCAGCATATTTACGATTTCATCCAGCTAAACACTATCATTGGCGCAAAAAAACAATTTCCTTAACATCTTTCAAATGATACCGGTTTGTAATAATACCTTGCCGTAGACCGTTCTCTATCTATGCCTACTGGGGTATCCCCTGTTTTTAACGTGGTATTATTGGTGCTGCTTACGCACTGCAAGAATGGTAACGAAATAATACAGAAATGTTCATTATACGTGCGGTTAAGGGTTTTCTAAACAAATATGGAAATGCTAAAGCGTACAAAGGCTCAAATGAAAATATGGTTATCATACGTACAAGAATAAATTATTATTAATTTATTGTTGGGTTCTTCTCTAGCAGGGTGCGATATAAAAATCCTGAGGTTACCAACTTGTTAATCGGATCGTTTCCGTAAAAAGTTCTACCACAATGCGGGCAGGCTGTCTGTTGTAGATTTCTCTCCTGCCGGTGGCAATGCTGCAGAGCATGCTGTTGCGCATTGTTTTTTTCGCGTATTAGGTATCGATTGTGATTCGTGGTGGGCATTTACGTTAAATGTTGGTGACACGAATAAAATACTTTTATAACAACTCTAATTACAATGATGTATTATTTCTACCGCATATACCACAGTGTTTAAGTTCAGCAAGGCTATAGACCGTATCGTTGTGTATAGTAAGAATGCTATCCATCTACACACAGGACAGAGCCATCTAACGACCTGTGAGTGCACAACAACTAATGTTTATAAATAACATATTATTTACTGCACGTGCTATTCTGATAGAAAATGTAAAATTCGTTTCTTTAGAAATGGATCCCTCAGTGCTCCTAAATGTTGCAACTTGGTGCGTAGTAAATCAAGTAGGACTCTGCTTTTGAAATCAACTTCTATCATTTCTAACTCATCACAAAGCGCTATCAAGTTGTAAATTCCATAGGCAGCAAATCTTACATAGATTGTGTTGAGCACCTCCGCTGAGAGGAGTTGTCTTATCTTCATAACTTGAATAATTTGAACTATCTTGATATCATCCGTTATATCACATAGAAAATGCAAATTATTCTCGCTTAGATCGCTGATTGAAAGCGAATTAAACGCTAGTTCGGACTTATCCTTGTCACAATGTTTGTAATAATCGTACAACAGAATTAGAGTCTCTGATTTAAACGCACCAATATTGCCGAACAAATGGATTAAGAGGTTATCAATGCTGGCTTGTAGGCATTCCACAGCCTTACCTTCTGATTCTGCCTTTTCTGCATCTGTCTCTAACGTTCGCTGCTCTATTTCTCTTATGACGTATAAAAATAAGAACAAAGTGTCTTCCTCCGTTGACATCAACTTGATTTCTTCCAAAAGTCTGCATTTCAGGTTCAGGTTTTCCACATCTAGCGTATTGTTGTACAAGATATTGTATATGAAGGTTTTATCAGGCCATAAATTAACAGCAAGTTCGTCATCATCATTAAAATACAACTCAAGAATTAGATTTGCTCTTTCATCTGCCGTTATGGCAATCTCCTCTAAATGGAGGATACTTATCGATATTCTCAAGAAATTGTAATTCTGATGGAATTTTTTGATGCCAATACAAATAACCTCTTTTAAAAGCTGCCTGTTGTGCGATACGAGGAATTTTATACACAGTATAAACTCTTCAACGCCGTCTATTTTTTCAATTAGGTTGAATGCCGAGGAAATTTTACCTTTTTTTACGAATAACATGAAAACTTGTGCCTGATCTATCAGGTCATTTGAACAAATGGACTCACCAAATATTTCATTCGCTTCCATCTCATCAAAACTTGTCTCTGATCCGTTTTGGCAGGTTTTAACCGTAAATCTTTGATTCAGTTCCTCCTCATAGAGTGTTTCAGCACAAAAAATATCACCCGTGAAGAGATAGCAAGCGAATAATATCTTCCTTTCAACCTTTATGCTACGGCGCGTCAGGCAAAGAATCAGGGCATAGTCCTTTTGAACATATAGGAATCGAACCAGATCATCCCAGTCCACAAAATCCTTCAGGCCAATGTCCAGCAGAAAGTTTATCTCACCGATCTGTACTGCGTTCGTCACACGATCATACATCTGCGATGGTCTCCTACCTTCTATCTCTTTATTTAGGTTCTTTATCAGCGATGTTGTTATCAGCCGCAGATTCGTTGCCTCTTCGTCTGTGAGTATGCTAGTGATTTTCAAGAAATCGATGATAATTATTTTGAACGTGTTCAACTCATTTATTTTGAGACAAATCATGAAAATAGTGCTCAGCTCATTCAAGCCATTTTTTTGTTTCATTGCGTAATCCATCAATTCGCTAAGGTATTCGGTGTCTAATATTGCCTGTATGAGCAGAGTCCGCTCAAACCTCTTTCTGAGATCTGTAAGTCTGCTCAAATATGCAGCTTTACACGCAGGATCATAAAACAAACCAAAATAAAAAAGAAAGACATCGAATTGCTCACTAGTACTGATAAAATCCATAGCAACCAACAACTTATCATTATTTGGTACTAATTTTACCGTTTCAGGGGATCCTTCCACAAATATTTGTTCTTCAACCGTGTTATCAGTGCTAATTCTTATTTCGATATTTTCTGATCGTAGGTCTACAAGAAAATTGAAGATGCCTTCACTGTTGATCTGCAGAAACGATCGGTATTCGGAAAGAATGTTCAAGTCATTGGTGATTTTAACCTTTATAATCAGCATCCTGCTTAAACACTCTATTAAAAAGTAAAAGTCCTTCTTCTCTATCAAACACAGCTTGATTATCTCATCAAATTTTGAAATTCCCCTTTCCACGTACATCATTGCCCTCGTCTCCTGCAGGTAAACGTAGAAATCCTCACATAGTACGGTGCATGCCTGAATGGATACGAACAGAGAAACCTGGTCAACACTACCCTCAAGATTGATCAGGTGGTTGTAATAGTTTACGTTGTTTGCCTTATGCGAATTAATCTCTTCTATCTGTTTCAGCACCGTTCTATCGGATACTTCCTTGCCCATGCCGATTATGCCCGCTTTGTTGATATAGATACGATTTCAATCTTTTTAAAAATAGTACCAAATCAATACAACTACGATTCTTTGGTCCTTAAATTCAAATTTGCTAGCTTTACGGTTCACATGGCAGGTTTTTTTGTCTTTTCGTAGAACACATGCTCTATTTTGCACTGCTTTCACTGTGTTTTCAAATTAAAGCACATAGCATGCGTGGACACAGCCTGCCCAGCTATACATATCCATTTCAAGATTACAATGTTATTGAACAACACCGTTTCATACAGCATTAACTCGTATAATGTTCTGCTACCGTGTATATTTTTCATATTGATGTAATAATCGATTAATTTCTCGTATCCGCTTTGCGGTAGATCTTATTTCATTACAAGTAATGCCATTAAAACGCAAATCTTCGTTTCTAAGAGCACATGCAGTTAAAAATGCCGATATGTTGGCATCGAGATGTGTAATTTTCGATGACATAAAATCATTTCAATAAATTGCGATCGATTTTTTAACGCAAGATCTGAGATTGCGACACAAAAATAGAGAATTTCTTGATAACTCCATAGCATACCATCAAATGTGGTCTTGTATAAGCTACAAATAGGAGATTGAAAACGTGTATAAACACTTTTATTCATGAACACATGCTATAAACATTTCTATTACAGCCAGAAACCTATGCCAGATGCTACACTATTGAGAATTAAAATATGTTGGCTGTGCTTTTGGAAATGGATGGATATGTTTGTAGCCTCATGAGGAGATCTGCACGGTATAACGCGCATTATTTGACGTGCTCGTAAGAAAAGTGCCTATAAGCAAATTTTATCGTATGTCTTTTTTATATTTTGTTTGTTATTTCTTTGCACCACGTACTATACGTCATCATAACAGATATTGTCTTTAAGTTTGTTATCAGGCCTCAGTGTCAAAACTTGAGTCTATGTCCAAAATTAGATCTTTTAAAGGAACTAAAGTAGCATATATGCCACTAAATCACATACGTAGTTAAATGATTATAAATAAACAGGGAGTTGCGGATCGTTTTATCAGATTTCTGCTATTTACTCAAGCACTATCACTACATGTTGCTGTGGAAGCGATGTTTTTGTAAGCTGTGCTCTCCATTTAATATATTCGCGTTACCTGGTACGTTCTTCATTTGGAAACACACCATTTACTTATCTTCATTCAGATTATTTTTCGAAACTGAATAGGTTTATTTAGAAAGCCACCGACTAAAACTTTCACCGATCACTGACACAACACCCTGAACACCTTTCTTTCCGCCTCAGCATCGATAGAAGAAAAAATAAGTATCATCCTGACTCAGATCATCATTTTTTATCCCCGTAGAAAAAAACCTCAAAACGTTACCGCAACTGAATGTTCAACCAAGTGAGTGCCTATTGCACGGTTTTATCAATTTAGATATTTTTTGATGAACTACCCGAAACACATATTCATTTTCTGACGTGATATGAGAATGGGCATGCACAATTGTAACAGTTTACCCGCTATCTTTATTCTTGTTGATGAGTCTTCTTTTCATTGAGATGCTGCTGTCAAAATAGCTGATTAGCAGGTTCTCTTCCTTGTAAACTCATCCTAATGAGCAATTTTTGCACTAAAAGTACGTTTATTTACCTCTCACACCACAACACACTATTTTGATCCGCTTGAAGCGATTCTGATCGTCTTACGGTCATTTTGTACCAAAAATATTGAGTACACCATAAACACAGATATAAGTAACTATCTGACATGTGGATAGAACTTAGTACGCCTATAATTGGCGAGACACCCAGTTATAACATTTAGTCCGTATACATACCTGAAATTACGGGTAACTGCGTTCGTGCGGTTTAAAGTGACGAAAGTATTGGATTGTGCTTTTGATGCCAACACTTCATAAATCACACAAATCATGATGGTTTGTTTTGTTGACATATCGATAGTAAGCGTACATGAAAATAGAAAGTATGATTGGAGAGCTGCATTTTAATTACAAGTTATAGAACATTCGTAAAAATATTATTTTTGTGGTAGCCTTGGACGCAGCACCAGCCACGCTTTGTTTTTAAGTTATCGTGATTGATGACACTAATTGCGGATTAAAAATATAAATAAAGGAAAACATTTCAAGATCATGTTCGTGCGTAACAGCGATAAAATTTTAGAGCCGCTTGATACCAAGAAAATACATAAAATGCTGTTGGAGTGTTCGCATGGCCTCAACATCATGAGAGAGGAGCTTGATGACCTGTTCAACAAAATAGAGAGCGGGCTGTGCGACAATCTTAGTACATGCGATATCGTGTCGCTTGCTGCGGAGTGTGCAGCATCAGCAATGACCAAGAATCCTGATTTTGGATGCATAGCGGCACGCATCGTGGTGCGGGAGCACCACAGGGTAACGCTCGATACCTTCTACGAGAAGGTGAAGTACTGCTACGAGCAGAAGAGGTACTTCAGCAGGGAATTTTGCGAGCGGGTGCGTGAGAACAAGGACGCGATACAGGCCCAGATCGATTACAGCAGGGACTACGACATTTCGTTCTTCGGGTTCAAAACGATGGAAAAGTCCTACATGCTGTCCATCAACAGCCGGACAGTGGAACGGCCACAGGACCTGTTCATGCGTGTAGCGCTTGGAATACACTACGACTCGCTGCAGGATGCATTTGAAACGTACCATCTGATGTCGCAGAAGTACTTCGTGCACGCTACGCCCACGATGTTTAACGCGGGCACGCTAACGCCGCAGCTCTCATCGTGCTTCCTCCTAGGAATAGAGGAAGACTCAATCGAGGGCATCTTCAAAGCGGTGTCTGATGCAGCAAAGATTTCTAAGACTGCAGGCGGCCTTGGCATGAATGTGCACAAACTGCGTGGCGCCAATTCACTTATCAAATCTACAGGTGGTCGTGCATGCGGCATTATACCGGTTGCAAAGATATTTGAAGCGACACTGCGCTGCATTGATCAAGGCGGCAAGAAACGACCGGGATCGATGGCGATCTACGTCGAGCCGTGGCACTCCGATATCTTTGAGTTCCTTGATATACGCAAGAACACGGGTAAAGAGGAGCTGCGTGCACGCGATATTTTCACAGCGCTGTGGATACCTGATCTGTTCATGCGGAGGGTGCACAACGATGAGAACTGGTCGCTGTTCTCCAACGATGATGTCCCGAACCTGTACAATCTGTACGGAGATGAGTTTGACAAGGCGTACGAGATGTACGAAAAGAATGGCATGGCGCGGCGGACCGTGCGTGCACAGAAGTTGTGGAAGGCTATTCTGAGCAGTCAGATCGAGACTGGCACGCCGTACATGTGCTACAAAGATTCAGCGAATAGGATGAACAATCAGAAGCACCTTGGCACGATCAAATGCAGCAACCTATGCTCGGAAATAATGGAGTACACCGAGGAGAACGAAATAGCGGTGTGTAACTTGGCATCCCTCGGCTTGCCCAGGTTCATGCAAGACGGCCAGTTTGACTATGAGAAGCTCAAAATGGTCACCAAGATTGTCGTAAAGAACCTCAACAAAGTGATAGACGTAAATTTGTATCCTCTACCCGAGACAAGGAACAGTAATCTCAAACATCGTCCCATCGGCCTTGGAGTGCAGGGCCTTGCTGATGTTTTTGTGATGCTGAGGATGCCGTATGATTCAAAGGAGGCGCGTGCCGTAAATTTGCGCATATTTGAAACGATTCATTTTGCAGCACTTGATGCGAGCTGTGAGCTTGCGAAGGAGTATGGGCCGTATGACAGCTATGAAGGAAGCCCGATGAGTCAGGGCGTGCTGCATTTTGATATGTGGAACGTGGTGCCTGTGACAAACCATGATTGGCGGGGTCTCCGTGCCAGGATAGCGAAGTATGGTGTGAGGAATTCCTTGCTTGTTGCACTAATGCCCACTGCAAGCACCTCTCAGATACTCGGGTACAACGAGTGCTTTGAGCCCTTCACCACGAATATTTATACGCGCCGCACGCTTGCGGGTGAGTTCCAGGTGGTCAACACGTACCTGATGCACGACCTGATGAAGCTCAATCTATGGAGCGATGAGATGAAGAACATCCTGATACAGGAAGAGGGAAGTATTCAAAGAATTGAGGGTATACCGGACGAGATAAAGAGGCTTTATAAGACAGCGTGGGAGCTGAAGATGCGTAGTTTGATTGATCTGGCAGCTGACAGGGCACCGTATGTTGACCAGTCGCAGAGCCTAAATATTTTTATGGCACAGCCAACATATCCTAAGCTGACGAGCATGCATTTTTACGGTTTTAAACGGGGACTTAAGACCGGCATGTATTATTTGAGGACTAGACCGATATCAGCTGCTGTTAAGTTTACGGTTGATAGAGGCATGGTGAGCACAACAAAGTTGCTCCAAAAATCATCGTGTAGTCCCACGAGTGAAGATGATGAGTGCATGTCATGTAGTGCGTAGAATAATCTAAGTAAAATATTCCTGTTATTTAGTTCGAATTGAGGTTACCTCAAAACTGAAAACCATCTGCTATCTTGTTAGATTATTCACGGTTATTTTTTGCGTTTGTTCCTTCGTCTAGATTTGATCGAAAGGCCAAATAAATTTGCAACTCGTTCAGAGAGTTCCTTGACCGGTTGCAGTGTCCTGTGTAAAATGGAACTTAAATTTTTGCCTCTCACATCAATACTTTATATGCTTTTTAACTGCCATATTTTTTAAGTTCTGCTCATCAACTTTTTTCACTAACAGTACGCGTATTTTCCTCCTCATACCACATCATCAAAGCAAGTACTTGTCCGGTCTTGTCGTTCATCAACATACGTTTTTACTCCATTCGCATATTTCATTCAAGATAATTACACATACAGCTGTTTGTGCGTAAATAAAGGCTTGAACGGGAGAACTCCTACTTGATTAAACGAGTATGCTCGTTTACTATCATCTCTGGTATTTAGAAGGACGTAAAAGCACGGTATAAGGTTTTTAGATCTCCTGTGGCGAAGAAAAAACTTTCATCGCGAACATAAGGAACGGATTACAATCATCATTACCGGTTGTCAGAATTGCCTATTTTGAACATAATCTACGTGTTGTGCAATATTCGGTTGCTCTCAAACACATAAATCGGTTCATGTAATCGCTTTTAAATATTTTTACCACTGCAGGATCATATCTTGGATATAATTATGTCGGGTCGGCACCAGATTTGCCAATCTTTTTGAATTACAAAAAAATTATTCCCCGTCATGTCGGAAAACCAAAAACTAAATTTTGAAGACTTTGATTTCAAGAGTGCGAACAAGCCGAGCGCGGTTCCTAACGAACAGGAAAACTTGAGAAAAATAATAAGAGAAAGTGTTTACGGTGAGCATGAACGTGAAAACGATGACTCCGTTAGTATAAATGCTGTAATACCAAAAAGTGCTTTGGAACGGACTATTTTTGATGCCATGAAGAACGACAAACAAAGTATCTTGCTGATCAGACAGAAGAAAACAAGATTGGCAGAGTTCGATAAAAAGATGAAGCGAATAAAGCAAATAAAGAGCAGGAAGTACCGCAAACATCTTAAGATGGCAAGAAAAAATGGAGAGCATGATGTTAAAGTTCCGGATTTTCTTCTTAAAAATATTGAAGAGGAGAAGAAAGACAAAGTGTTTTTCGACGAGGAGATGAGCGAAAAAATAGGAAAGGTGATGGTACCGGAGGAATTGGTTGATTCTGAATCAACGGACTCGGAGTGTGAATTGTTTAAAAATGACAGCTCGATTGAAGACGAGCATCTGGAGGTATTTAGAAAGGAGAAGATGGAACATATGCAAGAAAATATGCCAAAGAAAACGACTATAGTACTACCCGGTTGGGGTTCGTGGGGAGGACAAGATATTGAAACCAAACAAACTCGTTTGAATACTATTTGTTCATCAGAGGAGGGCATAGCACCGAGGCGACGAAAGGACTTCAAAATGGGACGTGTAATTATTAACGAGGATGCTCTGAAAAACAATATTAAAATTGAGCTGCCATACGGCTATAAAAAACTAGAATATGAAGCGCTTCTGAATATGCCTGTGGCAAAAGAATCAAATACGTTGAAGATATTTCAAAAGTTTTTGAAATCAGGAGAGCAGCACCAAAATGGTGATAAGGCTTTTGATACATTCGAATACGCATCTAAATATGATAAAGAACTGGGATGAAGCTATATGCTTATCAGAACCGGCAATCTGATGGGTCAAGCAAGCAATAAACACTTCTTCCGGAGTTACAATAGAACGTGCTATCAATGAATAAATTTATTTCATATTAAATATTTAAGCTATTCTTGATCTATCGTGGTTATAATTGTTATGGTATAATCACATTATAGGTTTTTATAAAATTACTGATGTTAGACAGGATTCATGGATTAAACAAATCAAGATGGTCATTCAAACGGTAAGTATTATAACAATGCAGCTATAGAGAGGCCTGGCTGTTTTTGCCTGGCGTGCAATTTTACCTAAGAATAGAATGTTAGTCTCAATATGTTTCCTAATCAGCTTGTTTACTTCAATGCTCAACACCATAAAACAATGAATATTTGGTCGCTTATGTTACAAACGGTTGTCTTGATAGACTTATGTAAATTTTAAATTATCGTAGCATAGCCAACAGCTCAGTTGATACAAAAATTGCTGTAAAATTTTGCTCTCTGCCCTTGGCTCTCAAATGAATGGAATCCTAACAATGTTATTTAAGTTTTAGGTAATATTATACTATTGATAGGCAAATAGAACCGTTTCCGCAATGATAAAGTTCTTTGCATTTTCTTTATTTTCTATGTCAATGGTCTTCTATTACTGTGTCACACCATTGTAAAATTTAATTCGTTGAATACACTCTCGTACGGGCATTGTTATATGTTTTTACGTGTTTGTGCCTGTCGAAGAGGTACGAAGTGTATCTCTGGCCAGTTTTTTGTTAGGTGCAAAGGGTGTCTCCTCCAGCAAAATATGAAGTGATAGGAACGGGGAGTAGCGAATGCATACAGATCATGAAACGAACATTTTATTGAGCGAGTGTGTAATATTGAACAGCATATAAAAGTGACTGTTCGCTTGGTCGTTTTATTCGGAGATTGAAGGTGGTATTTGTATATTTGATGCCAAAACTTAAGTATAAACATCGTTCATACGCTATTTTAATGAAAACAGAACATAATTTCAAATAAATTTCCCTTTCTTTCGAGACACTCGCGCAATTGATCTGTAAGTTCAGTAATTTTCTGGGACAAGTTTTTGTCATCTTCCTTAATTTTTTTTATCTGTTTTCTTTCATTTTCCATTAATAAACGAATATCTTCTACTATTTGCTCATCCGTATTTCCACTGTTTTTCCAGTACGGTAGTTTATTCAAGTACGAATCATGAAACTTAGTTAAAGTGTCTATTGTCCTTTGTATTGTATCATATGACAACTCATGGATTTCTTTTAAACACCGTAACGCATCATCTTTACAATTCTTTTTCACCTGATATGTAATCATTTCATCAAATTTATCATTAAATTTGTTTAACGTTTTTCTCATGTTATCGAATGACACATTTCTTTGGTCAGCAAGGTCTATTGATACCATTAGATACTCTGAGAAGCATTCAAAGACTTCCCTATTCATATATTTTTTATTTTCATGTATATCTTGGCTACACTTCCTTATATCATAAAAATGTTTTACGTCCCTATTAGTCTTTAAAAAAATCATATCAATGTATATTTCTTTAAATTCATAAACTTCGTAAGGAGTACCACGACAGAGACTTCGGAGCAGCTGTAATTTTACAGCCGAAAAAAAGAACAATGGCAGCATTCATCAACCACTTTGTATTCTTTTTATGCACTTACAATTAACTCAAATTGTACAGAGTTATTAGCATTAATGGGAAGAAACATTTATTAATTCTCATAATCCGTTTATGCATGGGAGTGCCGTGTTTTTGATTTGGAACGGCTACCAAAACAGATTTGTTACCAGATATATTTGGAGAGATAGTACGAAGTAAAGCATTCAAGGCAATAAAACAATAACTAAGTGATGGTTTGTGGAACAAAACACCATATACACAACTAAAACCAATCATTAGTAAAGTGCATATTTTACTGCGCATGTCAAATAGGTTGCACAGCAGTGCTTTGCTCAATGATGTAAAACAATTCATAAACCAAATTATCCTGTTGTGCAACACAAATTAGCTAAATTGTTTCTTCTATGCGAAGTAAAATGCATTATCAGATTGATCCACCGTAAAAATGCTTTGGTGCGTAAAAAATATGTAGGAATACAGCTAAGACGGATAATACAAGTAGTCCGACTCAATGGTAATAGCACTGGGAATCATCATAAGTATTAATTGAGTATAAATAGCGTATATGTGATTGATGCAATTAATGTGTGTTTCGATAGTGTTTTTGATACTGGTGTACCTCAATGTACTGAATACTATTCCTTACTGTTGCATTCCATCGTATGAATTTGACAGATAAAATGGTGAAAATGTTAAAAACAAGTGATACAGTGCGGAGATCTCCAAGCTTTCTGTAAAAGACAAAAATATTGATCTGATCATATAATTACATGTAAAAGCTTTGATATGTTTATTTATATCACCATACAGCAGCATCTAAACCAACATACTTTTTTGTTCGGATGTGTATCTTTTTTAGATGTATTATGCACCATACTGGCTAATTAAAATATTTTGTAGCTTAAAATACCAAATATATTGCTTTGAGTAGTAATAGTATCGAGGAGATTGCAAAATACATTATTCGCTTGTTTACTCACCATGTATAAATGTGAAATGAATATAATTTTCATCTTTTCATTATTTCTAAATATAAACACTACACAATTACTTGTGCCATAGCTAATATTGTGTCTTTTTCGGAAAAATTAATCTTATTACACTCACAAATACATGTACCACAAAATACTACGTCTAGATGAAATATCACAGGCTATCGAGTGATATAGAATCGCATGTCTCAGTACTAACCAAACACGTGATAGGATAGTTCACGATGTATAGCGAAAACAAAGCATCAAAGATGGATTAATGTGGCAAATTAAGTTTACATATAAGTTAAAATAAAGATGATGGTCGCAGAATGATGTTCCATTTGTTGCTAACGTTACTTAAGAAGATACTTTTTTAACAAAATGTGTGTTTATTCATTTTCCTATGTCACAACACCAGAGCAACACAAATTTTTAGTTAGAGTGAATGCCTTATCCAACGTTAACAGGAGAGGTAATAATTTCAACTGTTAGCATTGAGAGCTCGTAATTTTAACAGTGATAATTGATATTTCAAGATAAATAAAAAATTTTTGGTGAAAAATTGATGCTGTCTCGTTTTACAGGAAAGATAACACAATCGATGAACAGGAGAAACATCAAAGAGAGGAAATTTGGTTAAAATATTTACTTTTGCAACTATGAAATAAGAACAATGTGCAAACACAGCCATCTTTGCTTAAAAAACATTTTATATCCTAAGCCGTCTGTGGATCTCCCTCTTTCTCGGCCTCTTCCCTCATCTCATTTACGATAAACCTGTTTCTTGTTGTATCAAGTAGCGAGGCAATGGAATTTTCGTCCTTTTCTAATTTAATATATTTTACGCACGATCCTCTAATAGACAGCGTTGCAACACCACTCAGGCCCTTGAAGTTTTCCAGGTCTTCGATTGCTACATCACTCAATTTTATGTTCAAAAATACATCACAGCTAAGTAATTTTCCAGATATGACCAGCCCGTTCTTGAGCTCTACTGTTATATTTTTGTTTATGTTTTTTTTGAACAACATGTAAAATATCATAGGAAGGGTTGCTGTAGGTTAGTGAACAAATACACGGTAAAAATCATTTTTGTACCGGTTCTGACAATCAAAAATACTATTTTGTTATACATGTATTGTTTCATATTCTATCAAATTTATAGAATGGCTTGATGTGTACATGCATTGCTTCCGTCCTGGAAGCGAAACACATTGGATATGTTCACGCTATGCGAGCAAATTTTGGCAAAAAACTTCCTAGCAGATGCAGGTTCCATGGTGCAACAGCATGTTTACCAAATGAATTTTAAATCTTAGGCACCTCTTGCAAAGAGATATCAGGTACATCCTTAGTGTTGTATCTAGGAAAAGTGTGATAACATTGTGGTAGTGTTTTTTCTTGTATAATTGGAAAACATTAAATTTGCAAGAAAGGATGAGCGATAGCCTGAAACATCGAATCCACTAAAACTTTTTAATGAAATCGATGTGTTACTACCAAACTATGGGCACAGTGAACAAGAAAATTACTCTGTTAAAAAATCTTGTTCTTTAAAGCACGTCCACACCGATCAAACAAACTTCTTTGGTAATATTGCCATGTCAATCATGGTTGATAACCGTTTTATTAGGTTAAACCACTCGTGATTTGTACTAAAAGTATGTTTATTTATCTTTTCAACGCTGCTCGTGTTAGCGGTGTTTGTTTGTTCTGCCATATTTTTGTAGGGGCTCAAAATTTAAGCCCCGTATGATCAAGGGAAATATCATAAAATCAATCACTTTGTCCAATTTTATGTGTCATACAAATTTGAAGCTAACATTCAACTCTCCGATCACTGTGATCGGTGGCTTCAACGGAAGTGGTAAATCAGCAATCATGATCGCAATCGGCATAGTGCTCGGTCAGCGTACCAACGCGTTGGATAGAGGAGCATCAGCGAAGTCTCTGATCCAAAATGGAAAAAACTGCGCAAAAATACAGTTAGAGCTGTCGAATGCCCAGCATCAGTTTAACTATGGTTTTTTCGGCGGTTCAATTATCCTAGAGAAGGTTATAAAGCGAGACGGTGCACATTCAACACGTGTAAAAAATGACAGTGGGAGGATTTTTAGCTCGAAAAAAGAGGACATCGACTTCATAACAGATTATTTTCAGCTACACATTGATAACCCACTGAACTTTCTCACACAGGAAAACAGCAAAAAGTTTTTGAAGATAACCAAAGCCGAAAATTTGTATTCTTTATTCTTGCAGGGAACTGAGCTGGATGATGTGGCTGAGCTGCACGAGGAGGCAAACAGGAAGACAACAGAAATGAAGACTAAGTTGGATCTTTTGAACGAAGAGCTCGTGGAGGTTGATGCCAGAAGAAGGAAGAAAAGGAATGATCTGGATATTGTATTGGATGGAAGTAAGGTTGACGAAAGAATTTTAGAGCTAAAGAACGAAATTGAATGGTCGAAGTTAAAAGGAACACTGGACGAAATTCGGGCTAAAAAAGAAGATACGGATGCTTTATCGAGGGAGGTTAAAGAGTTGGACGATCAAATCAACCAGAATTCTCTATCAATAGATGAAATGAAGAAAGAAGAGATTGAGAAAGAGCGCGAGGTGAAACGCATTAGAACAGAAATTAGTGAAAGGAGAAAAATGCTGGAGGAGGCTATGAGGAACTATGAATTAGAGGAGAGAGAAATGAAAAATGATCTAGAGGAACTTACGCGAAACTGCAATGAAAAAGCACAACGCCTCCAGAATCTGAAACGGTTGGGCGGTGTCGATAAATTAGCAGAAAAAAAAGCACTTCTTGAACGAAAGCTAGAGATGGAAGAAAAGTATAGCAATAAGTTAGAAACGCTCTCTCAGAAAATGGTAGAGGAGAACGAGAAGTCGAGTACAAATAAGGCGAAGTTGGTTCAGCTCAGACAGACAGAACTAAATCTTAGCAAACAAATAGAGTTTTTGAGAAAAATTGAGAACAACAAGCTCCTCTTCTTCCACACTAAGATAAATGAGATTCTTAAAGAGATCGAATCGTGTAAATTTAATGACGAGGTGATTGGTCCGATTGGCAGTTACGTTACACTAAAGGATTTCAAATGGAATAAGGCAATTTCAATAATCCTGAGGTACACGCTAAGTAATTTTATTGTTTTCTGTAAAGAAGATAAAAGTAGGCTAAAAAGGATATTCAACAAGTATGATGCTAACTTTACGATACTGATACCGTCAACTCGCAATAATGCTCTTATCAAGTATGAAAAAAGAGTAGATTACAAAGTTGCGATCGATGTTATCGAGATAACTCATCCCAGAAAGAACGTAATTTTGAATCAACTCATTATTATGAATTCGTTGGAGAGCATAATACTTGTAGATGACAGATCAGTTGCCTATTCAATCTTGAGAAAAGAAAACAGCAAAAAGCACAGGTATCCGATCACCATCGCATACACAGAGGACGGTGATAAGATAAAGATGGTGAACAATTCACTATCAGACTTTAGACCACGTGTCTTATCGTTTTACTTTGAGAAAAACCTGTCAAAACTAAAAAATCTCGAGACCGAACACGAAAATGTGCGGGAGCAAATGGACAAGTTGGGTCAAGCCGATAAAACGATTGATCTACACAAACAGATTAATGAATTGAGCCAGTCAATGGCAGAAAATAGGAAGCATATTTCCGATTTACGTTTAGAAACTGCTGTTAACATGAACGATGACATTGAGGAAGAAATAAAAACAGCACATATGGCGATTGAAAGTTTAAAAATACAGAGAGAGGAACTAGAAGATAATCTTAGAAAGATCGGCAATTCAAAAACGAGGGCATACCGTGAAATAAAGGAAAGTACGGATGTGGATATACCAGTGGTCGATCCCAATGTATCTGGGAAGATACAAAGACTATACATCGATAATAACATATTGGAAAAGAAAATACACAACATTCAGATAAAAATGAACAGAAAACAGGCCGAGATTACGTCTTCAATGGGATTATACGAGATGAAGTACAACGAATTAAAGAAAAAGACAGAGGAAATAGGCGAGCCTAGGACCGAATCTTTTCTTCACGCGAAAATAGCGGAATGTGAATTGAAGAAGGACATTTGTCAGAAATTGGAGAGCGAGGAGACACTAAAAAGCGACTTAAATGAGTTGAACGAGATGTATGAACACAAGAAAAAAATAATAACTAGCTACGAGTCAAAGGTATCCAGCACCTTGGAGAACATTAAAAAGAGAATACAAAAAAGGGAGCATCTTAAACTGGAGGTAAGCAACAAGATAGCACGAAAATTTGAGGAATTAACTGCCAAACGAAACTACGAGGGCATTTTAAACTTTGATCATAAGGAAAAGCAGCTTGAGCTGAAAATGAAAGTGAACATAAGAGCCGGTAACAAATCTACGCTTTCTGGTGGTGAACGCTCGTTCGCAGCAATGTGCTTGATTCTGGCGATGTGGCCGTTTATATCATGTCCTGTGAAAATTCTGGATGAGTTCGACGTGTTCATGGATAACCTTAACAGAGACACTATTTTGCAGGAACTTATTGAAATATTTAAAGAAAGCGAACTGCAAATAGTACTAATTACTCCGTTGTCGGTGAAAGTTGAATCAGTAGACTTTATAATGCTGGAGCATCCCAACAGAAAATAGTATATATCGTAGTTTAATAAATTGTTACAGGATATTTTATTGTGGGGTAAAATTTTGCATTATTTTTTTATGATTTCTTAGATTGTACGTGCAATTCTTCTCGTCTGCAACATTTTAAACCCTTGTTCTTTAAACCAATGGTTCGTTATTTGAGTTCTTTTTTAGATGTAGGGAAAATTGATAGCAAACCACAAATTTCGATTACATCTATTTTTGCTCGATTCAAAAAGAGTGTGTCACTTATTCCAACACCACCGAAGCATATGTTACCGCCACAACAGCAGAAAAAGCCGGTTATTCTGTTCAATCCCGAGAACTTGTTGATAAAGCGCTATCCATCCTTTCTGAACCTAAAGGTAGTGGTAAGACCGTATTCAGACATTTTTCTTTTTGATTTAGCGCAGAATTATGAGCTCATTTCTTATGGCACGTTCACACCAACCGAGAGTAAATTTATTTACAAGCATTTAGATCCGTACGGCTGTATCAATTACAGGATAAACACAGATAGAGTAGATCTGAACCGTAATATGGATGAGCTGATTGTAATTGAGACTGAAAATCAGCAGTGGAATAAGATGTACGATGGAAACATACTGCGAGTTGAGCAATGGAACGGGAAAGAGGATGAAAGACTGTTTCTTTTAGATCAGTTCTTGTGTAACTTATTGTATACAGATAAAAAGAGTTGGTTATCAACGCTTAGATCGTATTTAAACGCTCCCTTTTTTCAAACTTACGAGAAGGTGCAAAGAAGACTTTTCTTTTCAAAAAACTTTTTCAGCCCAAGTTATGACACCTTCATAACACAGGTAAAAAATGACAAGGTTAAGGAATTTGAAAGGGCTAAACTGGTGATGGACGAACAGATACGGAAGGACAAAACAATTTCTGATTGGATCAAACCAGTCTTTGGACTTATAAGGCAATTGGTACTTTGAGACAGTTCCACTTTAGATGTTTAACTGCTTGTTACAACAGAGCAATCCTAATTTGAATAAATATTTCAGTCAATTGTAAAGTTCTGGCAAGATCACCTTGTAATTTAATTTTTGATAGCGTGTGAGTCAGAGTTATTTTCGAAGTGGATACATTATTTGATGTTGAGGGATTGTATTCGCCAAGAATGTCATAATAATTGAAAGTTTATCGTTTTTACTGTACGATAATTTTGCTATATAGGCTATATTTGGACCGCACTCAATATATTATCAGCAAAAAAAGAGCTATGAGAGCAGATTGCGAGATAACCACATACTAAACATGAGCAAGCTAATACAACAGAACATTATATAACATAGAGCTTCAGATCAGTGAGATGGTACAACCACTACACTGTTATACAAAAGGACAGGTTATTTAAATCGGTGCAGGTATAACCGCCGCACATGTGTGATGTAATTGGACAACTTTTTCATAAAAAGTAGTTAACTCGTTTGATAAAGTCTGTTGCCACACCCTTCTTGCCAGCCAGAATTTTTCACAAGAAATGGGTGTGGTTGCTAGGTTGTTCTAGCAATTTAGATCTACATGAATACAATGTGGTAATCTAAAACGTACGTAGTAATACGCTATCAGTTCCTCTTTTTATCTTTCTAAAACAAAAATTACTTAATCGCGAAAGAAGAAAAATACTTACCTAAGCTTTTCGTTCAAAGATAATGTTGCTACGTAATGGCACCAAATCTGACTCACTCCTAGCTTGAATGATTATATGGTTCGCAGTTATATAATTGCTAGATAACATTGAAAACGAATAATAGATTACAAATGCCATTCCTACACATGCTCTAGCTTGCATACTTCGATGAACTATTTCATAGAGGCAAAAGCACGTTTATTGAAAGTACAGTTCTATAAATATACGCTTCCTCAATAGTTCCCCAGTTTACGCAGCATCCTGCTTATATTTTTCCAGATAAGTTCTATAAGCAGTAACAACATCCTCATGTATACTCTCACAGTTCTCTTCGTCGTAAAAGTCATAAAAAGTCTAAATTAAAGAAATGAACTTACCTTCAAAAATATTGAATGGATTGTTTTTAACAATCCGAACACCCAATCGCGGTCCTTCCACTCGTGAACAAATACTATTTTATAGCCAGAAGGCATCAGCAGCAAGGAAACGTTATGATACATAAATTTATCGATCGAGTAATAGAAGTACTGTGTTTGTTCAGCTCTTACTTCTTTAAAGATGTCCAATGAAGCGTATGCTAGCAGCAGCAGCTGTGTCTTTTTATCTTCCTTATCGGCCGCACAATATTGGTAGATCAACTCATTCTTGAGATTGGTGATTACCAAAAGGTCCTGTTCCATTAACAAGGGTTTTCCAAAATTTTTGTTTGTAGACCTCGGAGAAACGAAGAAACAGTAAAAACTGTGTTATGGATTTATTGTACTTATCAAGTGAAGAATTTTGTTTGTAGAGATGGTGTCATGGGCTTGACCAGGATTTTCCAGGCAATCGCTCACATTTATCTGAGTACATAAAATATTGGTCGCAAACACCACGTACTCCACAGTAATGCATTTTTTGAGAGTTTTTGCAATAAGAGCGGTGGTTTTTTATCAGCGTTAAAATTATCGAAAACGCTTAAGATGTACGACCGAACCATCTTAGCGTTCTCCGGTAAGACATCACCATTCAAACAGTTTTTTTATGGAAAATGAATTTAATCAAAAAATACATCACAGTCAACTTAATACCCAACATGCTGGTTATTGAAAGCCTTCAATGGTAAAAGCTGATAGGCGGTAGAGTTTAATGGGAACTGTAAGTAAATTTATCATTATTAGTCTGAATAATGCTAAAAAGCAACAAAGGCATGTTTAATGAGCAATATTTCAAACTTGATTTCATTATCAAGTATTTAACACGAACCAGGAACAGTCTGGTCTTCTTGCTTTCAAGGCCGTTCTATCCCTTTTTACTCATATAATAAACCCGAACCCTATGGAAAGAGAATTAATCCTCAAATATAACATGAAATTGAATGGAGAATCGCCATTGAAACCACGCGAACTTAGCTGTAGGAGAATTAACAATTCATTTTTGTTTACACTTGATGATGGTTCTGCGTTTTTTATTTCATTAGGCATGAAAACAGATTTGAGAAACACAACCAAAGATAGAATTATGGTTAGACCGAGAAACATGGTTATTAATAAGCTGCTTTCTTTAATAGACCAGGAAAGTATGCAGTACCAGCTCATTATTTCGGCGAGTCCCGGGGTACCTGTTATGCATTTGATAAACGCGATCTTCATGGTTTTGAGAGAGCTCAAAGTGGAACTTTTTTGTTCCTTCCAAGGTTTTATGTTTAATGTAATAGAGGATGAAAAAGAAAGTAGAATTGCAATGGATTGCGATGCTGTATCTGACAAGGAGATGTTGGTCGTTAAGAGTGGGGAAGAAGAAATTTTTTTGTTAGAAAGTAAAGGTGAGATTAAGATAGCGGATTTTCTGGATATTATTAAAAAAGTTTAGCAGACTAGTTCTTATCATTGTATATATTTGTTACTCATCGTGGTGAATAATATGGTTAAACGAATATTATACCGTAGAGGCTCGGCAGTCTTAGGATGCCGTTCAAGTAATGAACTATTAGTGATCTACTGAAGGCTCAGTTGAACGAATCTATGACTGATGCTAGAGAATAAAAGGCGAGAAACATGTGCCCAGGAGTGGGAAGATGTTAAATTGTTGTCGTTTGTGTTTATTTTTACTCGTTCATACCGTACTCCTGCACAGGGTTTTGATAAGACTGGAGGTAAAACTTTTCCATAGTGCAAATGTTCATCTCTGGATAGAAATATAAGGCTAATGTAGTATCGATGGTGTATTATTAAAGTTACATCCATAGAATCGCTCTAAATGACTACTAGGCCTACACAAAACAGCTGAGCAAGGAATATATTTTTATAAATATTAACTTGTTCTTCTTATACTATCTAAAATAGATATGATTGGTACAGTATACTTCGACCAAAGCTGCCTTAATTACAAATGCTATCATCTTTCAATTTCAAAAATGTATGAGCATAAGTATTGGTATACAACGTGTGCTTAATCTAACAAGTATGGTAAAAGTCTTATTGCACATAATTTTATATTCTAAGCTAGTTATATTGATAATGTTACATATAACATGCTCATAATCTTACAAAATCGTTATTCAAAGCTATTATATCCTTTTGCGGTACCATTGTGCAAATGGTGTTTAAGACCCACTTTTAACCTTTAATATTGCAGTTTCATATCATATTTTCTCTTTGAGCTGTTCTAGATTATTTTTTTTCACAGATCAGATTTGTTAGAAGTGCTTGTCTTATAATTCGTTAATATTCTGCAGTCAAGCGGTGTTCAAGCGTTCTAACGATGAATGGTAATGGACATTACCATGCATGATCGGTAAAGAAGTGTATGCTATCATCTTCATACTCACGTAAAAGTTTACTTTTTTACATAGTTCAAATATTAAATCATCACAACATTTCGTTTTTTAGGACAAAAGCAAGAATCGTGTCATTTTGTATCGAAACGTTCTGATACAGATTTTTAGATCGTTCAAACACATGGTGAATAATGTTTTGCTTCAAAATAAAGGTAAAATAACATTTACTACAAATGTGGAAAGCACTCCTCACCTTTAACTTATATATTAGTGTTCTAGCCACATATATTATCCTTACCATAACCATGTAAAATTCGATATAATCTGATCCACTTTTATCCAACAACTCGTAAAAAGTTTATTATATTGCAACAAGCGATGCGGACCTATGGCTATTCATAAACAATGGTAAAACACGGCTTTCATCGAGTTATACGTGTTCTGTTAATATCATCAATTAATCACAACTTTGACAATTTTCTTCGTTTATGGTATCAATGCACTGGTTTTGCACCGTTTACCTGGTTCGTAGCGTAAAGTACCAAGCCCCGTTTCATGTAGCATAAAAACAGTAAAATTTGTATTATAGATACAAAATTGTTCAAAAAACTTTACAATAGATCATATCAGCACGATAAAACAACCAAATGAGTTGTGACAATGTTCTGATTTTTTTGATTTGCAGAATATTGTTCCCCTCAATATGCTTCAGCCCCTGCTTATCTGTCTTGTTCTGGAAGTGTAATGTTCCAAGTAACTGCAGGCTGTCCAATTTCAGAGCAATTCTACATTATTTCCATCAGCTGTTCATTAACCGCATCTAAAACAAAAATAATTAAGTATCAGAGAATAAAACATCAGAGTTTTAGCACACATTAAAAAGAACTAATTACCAAAGTCATAATGGAAGACTTTAATTGGTATGAAGATGCAGCCGAAATTGACGTGGAGGAATTTGAACCAGTGGAAAAAGACCGTTCACAAATCAGCAAGTTTTTTGATATGCTGAGAAAAATCTTTAACTACGCCATTCTAGTATGCGGTTCGGTGTATATTTTCAGATACATATTTAACAAGTACAAGATGACGATATTGGGCGTGAACTTAAACATGATACTTCAGTCCATCGTTATTGGCTGTGGTTCTTTCAACCTTGTAGTGTTGCTTGCACAGATTTTTCATCAAATGCTGAAGAAACTCGGTTTTAAAGTGGTAGAAAAGCGGTTTAAATCCATCTATAGGTGGCTATCAGTCACAGTTTGGTTTTTGCTCTGTCTTTATTTCTTAAAATATGTGAAAGAGGATCTAAACATCTACTATAGGTACGTAAGAAGTTTCATTCTGAGCGGTATTTTGACAAGCACTACATTCACGGGTGTGGCATTGGCCATGGAACTGTTTTATGAGTCATTCGTGACATCGTCTCTACTTGCTAAAATGAAGGAGGTTGATATGAAGGAAAAAATAATATCTGCTATGAAAAGCTACCGTTACGAACTCTCTGAGTCGTCAACAACTGATGCACCGGGATGTACATTCAGCGAAATTTTCTTCGGAAGAGAAACCGAAACCAACTCAGACACGAATATATCACACATCAACCTGAACAGGGGAGATGAGGCTGTGATAGGCAATGTGTGCTTTAAGTCACCAGAGATGCACAGTCTCCATGATGCCAAAACACTGGCCAGAGATGTATTTGAGAAGGCAACGAGTCAAAAGGAAATGACTTTTAATGAGTTTGCGGATATCTTTCCCAATGCTCAAATAGCTATCCAGGCATTCGCCTACTTCGATGCCAATGATGACCGAACTGTTTCGCGGAAGGAGTTCAAGGACACAATAATCCAGTTCTACATCGATCGCGTCAACTTAGAAAAGGGCTTCGCAATTGCCAAAGGATTTGTTGATATTGTCAATGATATTCTGAGTATTGTGGTTTGCGGGTTCCTAATTTTGGCCTACTTGGTTATTTTTGGAATACCGCTCAAAGAGCTGCTTGCTCTGGCACTGTCATCAGCCCTCGTTCTCAATTTTGCAGTCAGCGGGATGGCAGTTGATTTATACTTTAATTTCATGGTGCTGCTCAGCCATCCATTCGATCTTGGCGATGATGTTATCATTGACAGTACAAATTACACAGTTTATAAGATAGGTCTGAATTCCACATCATTTTTGGGCCGAAACGGAGGAAAAGTGAAATTTTTGAACAGCGTACTTTGGAAGAAAACGCTGATAAACATGACAAGAGCCCCTGAGAAAGTGCTTTTGTTCTCGTTTAAACTGTCACCAGATGTTAACACAGATATTTTTCGAAATCTGAAGAGTAGAATACACCAATACCTAAAAACGCGAAAATTTGACTTTTTCGAGGCTTTCTCGTTGGAGGCCATTTCCGAAGAAGCCGTTGATATCAATAAACTTGACTGTGCACTCATCCTGAAGTGCAGGAGTTACAAAACTAAGGCGAGAAAGTTTGGATTGAGGGTGGAGATTAACAAGTTTCTCAGGGAATTATTTAACGAACTCGGAATAAAAACATTATGAGAGAGCGTTTCGTATGCATCACTTGCTTTCCAGTTTTTCTTTATTTTTTAATTCAGTGAATTTGGATCAGATCTATAGTAAAAAAAAATGGAAACGCAAGCATCAATTTACGAAGCAATGGTGGTTAAACAGTTTAATTGCCCATATTCCCTATTTATTTTTTATAAACGGTCTACTCTATCAACACACGCTACTTCACACATTCTTGATTTCAACGGCACCTTGAAATCACATTTCTATTTTACGTGTGTGTTGACATGAACCATGCCCAATCAAGGATTTTCAGCTCAATATGGCTGCTATTTAAATGTTAAATCATACGTTATCGTTTGTGCTTATTAATCATTTTATTCGTATTTCACGGGAGAAGGAGCAGTTTATTCGAATGTTTCAAAAACAGCAATCATGTTTACCTGCCATGACATAACATTCCAGCATATTGCTGTTTAATCATTATTTATTCATTGATTCTCAGTTGTTACGCATGTATTGTACGTTGTGATGAAAAAAAATGTTTGTGATCTAGGAGCAGCTCTGGTAAAAAGTTTAATTTACAAGGCCACACCTAAAATTAGTGTTTAAACAGAATAAGAATTTAGATTCTTATTTTTGTTCAAATAGAAAACAGAACCTGAAACGGCATGAAGAGAAATAACATTTTAAATTTGAATCATTTTCTGTGCTATGACCAGAGCAACGAAATAATCACTAAAGAATCGCTCGAGCTTAACTCGTTTAATGACATCATGGACATCGAGGAGTACTATTTGAACAAGCAAACGGACGATACGCATGATTACGGGGTTTACTGTGACTTCCTATCTGAAAAGCAGCTGACCAGAATCGAAACAACTGCAAAAGAGATTTACAGGCCGAAACATGTTAGGGGAAAGGGTATTTATAGGGAAGGTTACTGCGACAGTTGCAACCAATGGTTCAGATTGAAGACGAGCAGCTATTGGTACCACATGAACTACAAACACGGCATCAATTCCAAGGGCAAAAAGTATCCTCAGCCTTGTCTCCGTGAGACGTACAGTCGACTGGAGAGTTACTGCAGGATGTGTGATAGATGGATCTTTTTGTGCTCGTCAAATGGAAAGAAATCCGTTACATATGCTTGGTACAAACACTTCCAGAAGAACCACATGGATTAGCAATCAATAAATTGTTTATGGGATTTTACACGCAAAATATAAATTGTAAGGAACTACCTAGATAGCTTTTTTAGGGTTGCTTAACATCATTTTAACACCTGAGCTACTTCACATAAATATGATACCTTGGTTTGTTGTACTATTCGAACGATACTTAACTTTGGTTTGTTGTACTATTCATACGATACGTAGCGTTTCAATTCAAAGAGCGGAATCGCAATGCTTTTAATAGAAACAGATTTTACATGGTGTCATATTAACAATTTTTTAACCACGCATTCCAATATACAACTCATAAGCAATGTGTTTGTACTTTAAATTCGTCTTATTTTGCAGAAAAATATTTATTTGCTCTCTTAATGATCGTAAATACGCAGTTTAATTGCAAAGTGTTTTTTTAATACTGCTAACCCTCTCGAATAACACAATGAAAATATTCAAGGACAGTGAACCTGACAGGATAGCACTGTGTGATGAGCTAAATATCCTTAATAACAGACTGACGGCGTCATCGTATCTTGAAGACAGAATATCAGCTATAAATTCTCTAAAAGAGATTGCTGAGAAGAATCCTAACGAGATAGGAATATACAGCATGGCATCAGTCATTGAGTCGATGCAATATTTCGTGCATCGGAATCATTTTGAGGTTCTAAGTAGCATCTTCCGATCTTCCAACGGACAGGAATTCCAGGAGATATTCTTGAAAATAGAAAAATACGTGCAGATATTGATAAACGCACGTAACAAGCGTGGTACAGACATTCTGGTACTTTTGGCTGCAAAGGATCATTCAAAAGTTGGCAGAGCCTTCACTAACAACGAGAAACAGTTCACGTATTTCAAGAAAATTGACGAAAGGGCATTCAGGCTAATCGATATTCTGATCCGTGACGTATCTTTCAAAAAGAAATTGGTTGAAAATGGTATATTTGAAAGGATATTTGAATTGTTGCATGAGCAGAACCACATTAAATCGTGCTTCGGCATCATAGCGAATCTGCTCCACGATTCTTTCGAGTGCCAGGACTACTTCTACAACACCGAATGGAAAAGGATCCTTGAACCGTATCGAAATCGCTATCCACACTATTATTTTAATGTGTTAGAAAAACTTTTAGATACGAGAAACATAAATTTTGCAAAAATGCAAGCGGATTTAAAAAAAATAGAGCTGGTCACAAAGGCGCTTGAAATGAAGCGGTATGACTTTGTATTCATATTTTTTTACAATAGAGTAGGATTGGATGCATTTATGAAGGACTTCGATTATTATAGTTTTTTCTTAAAAACAGAAAGAAGGAGAGAGCTGCTTAAGATATACTTCTTGGTGACCACGCCTTTCAATCTAGAGACTATTGATTTAAACAATGAATACACGTGTTACTTTTTGGCTTGCTATTTTTTTAAGAGATTTTACGAGGAAGTACACACTGAAAAGATTATTTCTGAACTATCGAACGTAAATTTGACGGTAAAAGACAGCGAAATGGCACATAACAAGCGAGAAGAAGAGGAAGAATTGGAACGAACTGGTAATGAAATGAATAACAAAAACGATACCACACATTTATTTGATGAAGAAGGTGCTGATGAAGAAGTAGCCACTGAGGAATTTTATACGAAAATAAACCTGACGAACAGCACGGCCGTACCGCAAGACTTTTTATCATCCTATTACAGCTTTATAGATCTGTGTCAGCAGGAGTTACAGAGGTTCACCGAGCGATCTACTTATTTTGTAATTGGTTTATTCATTTTCTTGAACATAATGAAAACAAAACTCATTTTAACTGAATCGCACATCGCAAGTATGCTCGCTTTTGTGAAAGATGATACACAAAATGCAATTGTTAAAGGTCTGATCATTCTATTAGTTGATACACACGCTTTGACCGGCAATAACGAGGAAAACCTGATGTTTTATGTGCGCGAACTCAGAAAGTATTTCTGTTGTGGACAAAATATCCTACACGAAAACGTTAATGATTTATTTGTACTGCTTATAACCGAACGGATCAAGGTTTTACAAGAAATTATTGGGAGCCGGGAGCCTGTCGGCTTTAGCTCAGAACAGGAACTTAACAAAGAGGAAAGTAAAAAAATTAACACGTCCAATGAAGAAGATGATCATCTTTACAAGAAATCACCTAAGGATGTTTTTCGCACCATCATGAGCAACGTATCATCAAAATTCACCACCAGTGATGAGGATGATTCTTTCAACCTATAGTAGTAACAATGTCAAATAAAAAATTGTAATTGATTATGTCGACATTTTCATGCCATCCACGTTTCCTTTTTGTAGTATATTACTTATCACACACACATCTGGTACCTTGTTCCACTAAAAATCATTTATTTACTTCCAAAACGCCTAAACAATGCATTTTCAGCTCGCCGATACCGTTCATGGCCGCTGGTCTTTGATTCATGGAGGAAATCAATGCGCCAGCTTGCATAACAATCTAGCATGTCTCTCAATATAAGAAAAAGATATGCTGCGGCCACAAAAATGACCTTAACACAAAAATTGCAACTTGTGCTGCAGTCACCTCCACAAACAGGGAGTGTGCTTAAAATGCAGTTCTGCAAAAAGTACACAGGATGAGCGCATACTGGGATATCAACTCAATGCAAAAGCATAAAGATTTATGCCTGTATTAGAAGTACCGCAACCGCACTGCGTATTATTGTTTCGTTAACTCTTGTGATAAAAGGATAGGTTAAGCTACCTTCTCATGCAAGCTTCAGGCACAAATATGTTTTTTGTCGAAAATGAGCGTAATATCCAACTTTAATCAATTGTTCCATTTCCGTAATCTCGGGGTTCAACAAATCTCCAAAAATTTCCATCTCGAATCGCAATTCGTGCTATATCACTAAAATCAATAAAATACGACAATATGTTCAACAAACTATCATAATATTCTTCCATTGTACCGTTATCCTCAATTTTACATTTTATTTGTTGGTCAATTTCTGAAATAACTAACTCTTTCACCCTGATTTTTATTGACATCGAAGGATCAGAACACCCTATGATCGAGGGTATGATTTCCAACAACTCTATAGTACTTGGGAAAGAGGTGAATTGTGATTTATTCATGAACAAGTAAGAATGTATTCTTAAATATCTTAGCGCTCGGTAGCACACATTCCTATTCTCATTAAATGTTGCTTCACAAGAAGTTATTTCGAATTCCCTGAGTGGAAAGCATAGCATCGGTGTTATTATGAATTCTTTCAGACCTGGTGGTAGGACGCTAAACACACCTGCTGAAATAAAGTGTGAAACAATGGAAAGTGTTTCTAACATAACAAAGTTGCTTATTTGTTCCAAACATTGTTCATCGAGCCAAAAGTTTGTGATGCTTAGGTGTTGTAGTGTTTTGTGCCGGTAATGTTCAAAAATATTGCCCCAGTTGTATACAAACACGGGAATTGCTATAAGCGACTGTTTACATAAGATCTTGTCCGTTTCGGATTCAACTTTCCCCGTTAAATCGTCTTGCTCAAAAGATAAAGGTTCTTTTCCAAAGTTATAGTGTGTATATTCCTTTGTTCGATCATGCAGTCTGCAGATAATGTTACGTAAAATCAACCTCTTAGCATTTACACATTTGGTGAGCAATGTTTTAAAATCTGAGTAACCATTGTAGTAGGAAATCTCCAAAATTTCGACATGACTCAAATCAGGAAAGCATATGTCACTAGAATCTCTTGTTTTATGCATC